GAGGGCTGGCGTGATTAAAAGATTACGTGAAATGTGTTAGGCTGTATAAGCTTGCCTTCATCCCTGTGGTTTAGCCGTACCTTCCCAAAACTGTGTTACAGCGTATATGCGAGCAAGTGACTTCGTTGTTTTGTGTACAAAGTCATTTGTGAGCCTCCAGTTCTAACAGCATGGCTGTAAAGTATATTTGCTAAGGGTACTGTTTGTAATCGTCTGTTACGGACAGTGACATGTTTGTTGTCCTTTTGAAAAATAAAGTTTTATATTGTTAGTTTTTATAAAAGCTGTCATTATAAGGTAGAAGTACAGATAATGTCAGAAGAATCAGTTTGTTTTTCTGGCAAGGCTGTAATTAAGTGTTCTCCACTTGCTGAAGTAGTTGGCACAGCTAGTAAATTGTAAAAGCATCTAATGTTTAGCATCTAGTGTTATTTGATGTAAAAGTGTAAAAGGATACTGGATTATGTGTGTCGTGAGAGATAACATTCTTAATCTTCTTACCATGTTTTCGGAGATATTGTCCAAGTGCTTACATAAGGTTATCTTATTCCATTCAAAGCCTGGGCGGTCTGCTATAACTTTTTTTTTTCTTTTTCTGACAGCCAAAGCCAAAGTCTCCGGTGGTCTGTGGATGAATAAGGAGTGAAAGCAGGAAGCAGTTGTCACGACTCGCCTGTCAAAGTCAGTTTACTGCGTAGGTAACAATCCTGTGTACTGAGAGGGCTCCATATTGGGAGAAGTTTTATTTAATGGTAAAAGCATTTCTGCAAATGTTTAGCCCTTTTATGTTTACATAGCACTTCTCAGCCTGGAAGATGCTAGGGTAGTTTAATGCTGCTATACATATGCAGTTTTGAAGGTAACCATATGTATTGAGCAGTGAGATGTACAAAAGCTTTGTAGCATTTTGATTATGGGGCATATTTTATACCTGAGAAGTCAACAGAGACTTGGGAATGGCAGGGGCAAGTGCCGTTGGTTTTCTGTGTCAGGGCAGATCAAACCAAATGTCATGCTCTAGTCTTGAGACTTTAGTGTATTTATTGTTTACTAAGCACAGCAGAGATGATGAAACAAAACTTACAATGCCAGATGTCTCCAGTTTTGGAGAAGAAACGTAGAAGGGAATTAAAAACCCTTAAAATGGATGGGAAGTATTATTGCAGTGGAATCTCTTTTGATCATTGGCACTATGCTTAATTGTGGGTAGCTAAGATTGCTGTCTTTTGAAGAAAAATGTAAAGATGGCGAAGATAATCATGTTTTATTTATCTCTCAAAGTTTAAATGCTGAAACTGTTATTTTGGAAATTAGTCTTTTGATTATAAGGAATTTGGGTAATCCAATATTTGCATTGATTGTCTCATTCAGTGAATAATTTAGATTAGGTGTGGGAGGAATGAAATTCAGCATCTCGATTTTTTTTTTTAATTTTTTTTTTTTTTTTTTGCTTATAGCTCTCTATGAAAGCAGCAAATCACTACGTTAACTCTAATTTCAGAATGCTTTTAATTAACTTTATTTTTATTTTAAATCTTAGTTTTTAAACTCAGTTGTTTGGAAGGTAACAGCCAGTTGCAGATTATGGCTCATCGATTTTCAAAAGAAGAATTAGACGAGCAGTTTGAAGAGTTTCTGAAGGAGGTATGTTTCAGAGCAAGGTCACGTCTCTTTTCTCTATTAAAATACAGAAGGAAAATTGAGTGTGGAAGAATATGAAATGGAAGGTGCAGCTGTGCTTTTGTCATATAATTCACATAGCTGTCCTATGTGTGGGTCTTTGCAAGTTCTTAACTTCATTGCTAAACTTAATTCATACTATTTTGCTGTATTGAACTCAAGAGAACAGTTTTGTGATTAAATAAATATGTTGTCACTGCTAGGCTGTATCTTCAGAAAGAGCTCTCACTTCTTGATTTTTGTTTCAGTTTAATTGTGTGTGTTATTTAGTAGCAGAAGCTTCAAATTGATACATAATTGAAAATGAGAGGAAAAACTTTTCCTGTATGTAGGCACAAGCTACGTTTTAAGAATTTCCTTATTTTTCTGTGCAATACCTAATTTCACTGAATTCTATTTAAAAATTCTTGTATTAATCCTAACAAAATGAAGTATGTTGTAGTGATTAGAAAATTTTAATTTGATTCCTTGTATTCCTCATGGTGCTTGATGATTTTGAGTACAGGTAAAATCATGCAAGTCTGTGGGTTATGACTTCAGCTAACAGTTTTTGGACGTGGTCAAAATGCCCTGACTCAGTATGGTTTTTTCACTGCAGTAGATCTGTAATTTCAGAATTTGCGCTCTGATCTATCGGACACACAGCGTGGTAATCCTAAGATATAAATACCACATACATAAGGCCTTTACTAGATTCTGTTACTGTACATAAGTGTAGCTTATGGCAGAGAATATTCTTGGGTTCTCTGTTATATGTAATGTACACTTAAAGGATTTTTTTGACTTAGATGCTGCGCTACGATTTAATTACTTGTGAAAAATATAGGTGCTAGATTCTATAAAAATCGCACTTTTTTTTCTATCAAAATTGTACTATGTAGTAAAGATCTGTAGTAAAGATCTATAGTAACCAGAGGCTTCTTTTCCAAGAACATTTTAGCTTTCCCAGCTAAGTCTGTAACTCTGCCTTAACCAAGCAGCTTGTGAGGTGTTTTTAGAGATACCGAATAAATGTAACTTCACCGAGCAATACTAAATTGAGAGAACAGAAAACAGAAATGCCATCTGAAAATGAAGATTCACAAATAACTTAAAAGTAGATTTTGGCCTTTAATTTGATGATGTAATTGAGTTAACATTCTTGAATTCACTGAAATTATTAATGTTAGTAAAAATAGAAAATTAGGCTCTGCACTTCTGTCAAAATTTCTTTACTTACTATTTTTATGAAGTGAGTTGCTCTGGGGAAGGGAAAGGAGGTTTATTCTTTTATTTATTTTGCGCATCTGTCAAAACTCTGCATATGATTACTTCTAGTATTTTGTCCCTCATTTGACGTGCTCTTCTTGCTCCTCAGCTATTGCCCGCATTGAGAATGCTCAAGTAAGAAAAAAGTCAAAATGGCTCTATTGAATTATTTTAAGTGGTTTTTGACATGTTCCAGAGAACGTAACTTTTAACAACTCATGTCTTAATTGTTTTTTATCATTTCAAGCGAAAATGTTTGTACAGTGTTTAAGCTTGCTTAAACACATATACTGCCAATCCAGTCATTAAAAATATGCATTGTTTATGTTTTGCCAGCTAGATACAGACCCAAATAACAATGACATTGTCCACTCTCTGCTACTATGTATGCATGCATCTTCTGTTATGTCCCTCCCTTTGCTTTTGCTTTTTATAAAAAGTGTGCAACCTTTTAATGTTAGAAAGATGAGAAACAGGTGAGCTCCATTATTTGAAATTGCTGTGTAGGTGATGTTTGTTTTGAGAATATAACTGGGGGAGCAAATAACAAAAACTGTTTCTTAGTAGTTTGAGGAAGACTTAATACTGTTTAAGCAAATCTTTTGGAGGAGAAATGGAGCAAGATGGTTTTTCTCTTTAACTCATAGTTACTAAAACCGCCTTTGTTGGGAGGAGGTGCTGGTTGTATGTATATTTGCGATTAAAATGAATAAAGTTAAAAGAAAGACTACATACAGTTGGGTGATGCAGGTCTAATATGAGAATTAAACTAAAGTCTTTTGGTGTATGCACTGAACTTTAAAAGCTGTCAGTGAAGAGGATTTTCTAGGCTTTTGTCATTATACAGAAGGAAACACAAATGTGTAATAACAATTACTGCATGTAGGATAGGTCTTTAATGATTCCCTCTGCCTAGTCACGCTTATTCCCAGCCCCTGGCTAGAATGGCCTGTTGTCATCCATGATTTTTCTCTTCCTCCATCATTGTCTGTGTGCCTGTGACCCTTCTGCTCCCCAGCACCAGTATCTTGCTGTAGCGTGCTTCCCCTATTGTCACTTTAATTTCCCTTAAGCATCATCTGTCATTGGTATAGCTCCTAGGTTTTCAGGGTGTTGGCTGTGAAGTTCCTTTGGGACATGCAACATGAGGAGCTCTTTCTAATGCACAGTGTTTCAATTAATTGCTTTTTTTTGATGACAATTTCAGCAAAGAAATCTTTTGAAAAAGCCATTGTCTTCCTCTAGTCTTCTAGGCTGACTTTTGTTCTACTTGATATTCATGGATAGCTGAGAAGGAAGACTTTCAAAAGGAAAGGCTATACCATCTTTACTAGAAAATCTGTAGAATGGTACCTGGAAGAGAAACATTGTACATTAAAACATGTTTGAAAAACATTTTTAATTTTTCTTAAAAGATCAAATATATTAAAATACTGTTTTGTGCTAAAAATATAATTTGGAGTAGACTTGTTTTATCAAAAAAGACTTGTTTCATGAAATAATTAGGACAACTGGTCATGAAAATCTGAGTGTAGATCCAATCCTATATTACCTATCTACTTTCTTAAGTTCCTTCATGTGTATAGGAGGTGGTAAGCTGATTATGTGCCATGTAGTTGTCCCAGTTCTTAAAACTGACACTTTTGGCTTTTATTTAAGTTGAGATTAAACAACAGACACTTTTTTGAAAATTTTTTTTTTTTGCCTGTGTTCCTGAAAGGCTGACAGGTTCTTTTATAGAGGAGGGGAAGGAAGAAATCAGTACCACTTACTGGTACTGAAAAGCCATTGCGAGTCCAAAAAGTTGCTTTATTTATTTATTTATTTGCTTTTTTTCAAAGGAAGAAAAAACATCTGTAAGTTTCGCTGTTGAGACAACTGACATGTTGGGAAAAATGCACTAGTAGTTTTATGTCAGCATTTCTTTCCCAGCTGCTGCAACTTTACTGTCTGCAGTTGACAAGGTAGCTGGACACAGAAAGTTTCCAGAACTTGAGAACAGCCCGTGGGAGTTTCAGTTTCTTTAGTTACAATACTCTAAGGAGTACGAGCATCGCTGAAGTTCTGCTTGCAGAGTAGAGGATACTGTTAGTTGTAAAAGAAACAGCAAGTGATAACAGAGCTTGCATCAAGCACCTGTCAGTACTTCTAGCTAGCAGGAGGCAGTCCGACCTTTGGGGACAATGGCACTAGTACTTGTGACTAGAGTAAGGAAGTTGTTATTTATAAGACATTTATTAAGAATATAAAGCTGTTTTGTTTGATGTCACTGTCCCAACTTAAAGAAATTGCAATACATCCTGTTGTCTAGCAGTTTCATAACTTATTACAATTGTGTTTTATTAAAGTGCAAGGCTCAGAGCACTTACATTTTCTCTCTGAGACTGTATGACAGGCATTTGGTTTTCTCAAGTGAAACTGTAAGCTCTAAAGATGTTATTGGTCAGAGATATTCATGAGAGTATTATTTTCTTATTAATTTTTTCTTAATGGTAGTTTTGGATAATTGGCATTTTAATTATGGGTGTTCTTTTTGGGCCCATAGAAATGGAAGGGTTAGATATATAGTAAAGGTAGGCTTTCATGGTCGTGCGTTTTCTGCAATAGGAATCAGGCAGTGCACTGCAGAGGCTTGTTTTAATAAAACATCCTCTTGTGTTTTACATATTAAGTACCCACAATCCTGTTGCCTCTAGTATTCTGTTTATACTATCACATTTTCTTGTTTGTGACTGTTACAAAAGTGAAGCTTTTGAAATTTTCCAAAATGATGCATTTCATATGTGAATTCTTTGTTTCTTATGCTTTACGGCTTTTGCTAACTATTTACTGTGTTCTTTAAGGCACTTCAGGACAATTGGTTTCAACCATTATGGTTAAAAAATTAGATAAAAAGTATGCCACTTTCCTCAACACCATGTTTACTGAGTTTACGCACAAAGAATACATAGCAGATAAGGTTGCAGCGCACTAGTTAGTGACTATCTTTGTTCAATGTCTGGACAGCGAATTGTGGCTCTGAGCCTACTTAAGCCACAAAGAGCTTTACTGAAGGAAAAGAGCAGAGATGAGTTTGTTTTTTTTTAAAAAAATGCTGCATCACTTCAAAAAAAGTGCTGTTGTTTTATGAAGCGTCTGTAGGTATTTTTCCTTCCTGTTACTCTTCAGTAACTTGAATTCATAGGATGTTCATACTCATAGACTTTTTTCTCCATCGATGTAAGCCATCAGTCAAAATCGGCATGGATGACTAGCACATATGAAAGCTTAATACACAGAGTTGGGTAGGGATGGCTCTGGCATTTCTATTAATTTCCATGAACGCAAAATATAAAATTTCTGAAGTCTCATTTACTGGGAGCTAGAACATTGCTTATGAGAGTTTATTTTTAGAATATGAATAATGTTGTTCGTGTACAAAGCACGGTCAAGGCAGAACTGTTTCTGTTCTACTTCATTATCTCCAGGGATGTAGTCAGAATTTTGGTTCTTGTGTGTTGTAACTAATTAAAAAAGATCTGATTATGCTGTTCATTTGAATGTGTACTCTAGTAAGTGGTTAACTTTCAACATATCCAAATTCTGGCAGTGAGGTTATTATAATATGCAGTATTATGCTACGTGAATGTAGTTATTGTTTCTTACTCAGCTTTGTCATGCATATATGAAAAAGGCAGACAGTGGGGAGTTCGGAGCAGCATCTGAACTCAGAAGTCCAGAGCTGAGTGGCTGTAAGACAGTTAAACAATGTGAAAATGTAAAACCTGACTTTAATCTTGTATACAATTGACTCAGTCTCTTTCAGATGATTCACTTGGAAATTCAAAGAAAAAGTCAAGCATTCTTGAGGCATTGGGACAGCCCAGGAAAAAAGAAACAAAGAAAAAGGATTCAGTGCCATGGTGGATATCTGAGGAAGATTCTGATGATGGTGGTAAATAATGTCGTTTTGCAATTTTTTTGGCCACAGGGTGTCAGGCTAGTTCTTTCTCATATTTCGTATAGGCCTGGTTTCAGATTAAGTTGATGCCATTCGAGTGCTTTAGAACGTTACAATGCAAGTTTGTAAAATATAAAACTCAAATGTATTTGTATTTTTTTAAAAGGGAATGTGTTCAAGTTGTAAGCAAGCTCTCTGCTGTTTTTTCTGTAGCTTTCAAGTCTTTAAAACTTGTGAGGAGTAAACACATTCTAAATAGTGAGATGATTAGAAAATGTAACTTACGAATTCTGCTGAAATATTTGTAGGTGTGTTTTGTAACCTACCTGTTCCTTATACTGACTTTTTATAGATTTCCATTTTCAAAACTGGCAAGTAAAAAGACTGATTTGTATAATCTTATGCTAATTGCAACATTTATAATAGGTTGGGGAAGCACAGAAAAACTTTTCAACAGCAGCTGATGCAAAGATGTATGTCTGTCGATATTCTCAACATTTCCCTTGCCAAGAACCCTGGCTCAAGGGGAAAAGGGCTGTGATGACATGATTGCTAGTTCAGTATTGACTTGGTCATGTAGTTCTGGAAGAAAATGTATTATTGTTTGCAAGCTTTCCACCTCTGGGTTTCCATTTCTCCATTGTTTTCTTATTGCATAGTAAAGCCTATGAGCAGTTAGTTTCCACAGAGTGACTGCCTCTTGTTCTTGTAGTAATTGATGGCTCCTTATTTTCGTGAATTGTATAACTTACAACTGGAGCTTAACAGAAATTTCCAGAAATCAGTTTTTCATATGACAGAATTAAGATACTGCTGGTAGTCTCCAATTTTAAGCATAGCTCTGTCCTGTCAGTGTTGTCATAGTTAGGAGTCAAATCTTAGTCAGCAGTTGTGCCATTTAGGCATAACCCTAATAGGTGTTGTCTGGACTGCTTATCTGTCTCTGACCTTTTAAGATGTTGCTGGAAAACTCACATGGATATAAGAGAGTTTCTGTCAGGTAGTTATGAGATATTATGATTTCCTTACAGCTTTACAAAAAGTGGAAGGACAGAATGTTCTTGCTGGGCAAAGTGTAAGAATTAAGTGGTTAACATGACCTCGTTTTTCTACATACTATCAAAGACCATTTTCAGGTGACTTTAGAAGTTCAGCATTCTTCCATGTTTTTTTCTGAGATGCTTGAGGCAACCCATAAAGCACTTCGATGCACCTCATGCTACTTAAACCAAAAAACATTGGAATAGGTACTTAAAAGGCAGGGTGATTACAAGTTTTGGAGAACTGCTTGCATGGATTAAGTACAATGCAAAGCAAATCAGAAGAAATGCTGTGATTATATCAAGTTGTTCCCATCCAAACCAATTCCACCACTTCTATTTTTTAAATTAAGAATATTTTATAAGCTGTGTAGTTTAACTAGAGGTAAAGCTGTTAGAACTGAAATGTGCTTGATCTGCATTTTACTGATGTATAAAATAAAGAGAGAGTTCTGGTAAACTTTTTAAGGTCTCTCTTAAAAAAGCTGTGCCTACCCACTTTTGCCAGCATGGAATCCATTTACTTGCAAAAGAAGCTAGCTTGTTCATATTCATAATCTTGATAAGGGGCTTGATTTTTTTCAGAAGGAGTTGAAAGTAGTCTGTGTGTAATGCTTTTTGAATCAAAGGTCCAATATATCTTGGCAGTTGGACATAATAAAACTGAGAATACAAGAATGTGGGGCAAATACGCTAGATCTGTGCACCGAATTCTTCCCCAAGCACTGTTTTTGCCAACCAGATTATTAGTTTTATTTCATCTGCACCTCTCTCACCACTCTCTGCATAGAATTCCATGCTTGTGGGACATGTGCAGTAAGCCATATCCCACCTAGTACTTTAATATTGCCAAGCAGAGAGGCCTTTAAGTTTTACTAGAGGGCTTTCCAGGTTCTGTCTTGGCAAGAAGAGGCTAGCTCTGTGGCATGTAGCAGAACTCCTGGTTGTATCATCCCATGAGGAAAGGCATGTATTTGTCACACTGGACACTTGCAAGTGGTAGCAGTTGTATTAATATATACTGTGATAGATTACGAACTGCGAAGCACAGAAGCAATCTGTACTATGGTGAATGCCATTCTGCTAGCTGAAGTCTAGTTGTAGGGAATTAACTTAGAGTCAAAAGAGAACCATTTGCAGAGGCCAGCTTGGCCACCTTCAGTATAAACGGAGTTTTCCTCTGCGGTTATGAAGGTATGTAATTTTTGTGTGGCTATAACTGAGAATGATGAATCCCACACATAAAGGGGGATTTATACATGTGTGTACACGCTGCAAACTATGCTATGATTTTAGTTCATGTAGATACACTTGCAGTGGTTTAAAATGACAGGTTAGGTGATTGTAAGGGATTCAGTGTGGATAGACTTCTAGAACTGCTCCTTTTTTCCTCTGTCTGTCTCTGTCTTGCATGCTTCCAAGTACTTTGTCAAATACAGTCTTCCCAGATCTAATATTCTTCAGCAGGTGTAGATTGTGTAATGTGTGACTCAGATGTATCAATAACGGATGAAGGCACAGCAGCATTGCAATAAAAGTTACTGCACAGGTTGACTGAGAAGAGGACGATTTAGATTTGTACCTTTTTGTAAGGTTATTAAATGTGCCCTAAATAGCAAAATAATTGACCTGCAGAAAAAATAACAATATTCTGTGATGATAACAAGCTGAATTTAATTTCTGAAAAGTGTAATGTTGGCATGCTTTGAATTTTGTGGAGATCCTTGTGTGTTCTTCTAGGCTTGAACCTCCATGTTGGTTGCAGATAGGACTTTATTAACAGCCTGTGAGCTAATAGAATTATTATTTTTAAAGTGTTTTGTCATCATGAATCAAACTTATGTAAATGTATAAGTCTTACCTCCACCAACAGTGTGGCACTGCATTACAAATACATGCTCCATATGTATGAGTTGATGTGTTTGGGTAGTACTGTATAGAGATATTGTTACATTAACAAAGTGCAAAATATAGCTAATTAGCTAGAGTAATGCACCAAGCTGGTAAGTTGTTTCCAGTTTGGGGTTTTCGGTTTGAGTTACTTTGATGTCTACATCATGCTTTCTTGAAACACACAGAAAGAGATGGCTGGAAGACTAAATATGTACTACACTTTTATTTGTTGTATGATTGTTTTTTTCAAGGCACCTTGTTGCAGAAGTGCCAGGAAGTAGATGGAGATTTAAACTAATGGTGTGTTTTCACTTGGTTTTATAGGCTAATGGTAAACAGCATTGACTATTTCTCTTCATTTGGCTGAGAAATATAAAGTACATTTTAAAATAACTCAACTTGTGACTCTAGGCACGCTTGAACTCTTTGTTCTTCAGCTTTAAACCGAAATGTGCAAATTATCATTGAAGGTACTATCTTCCATATTTGACAGGTTAAAGACCTACCTCTAACTAATGTCCTTTCTACTTGTTTTTGTCATTTAAATGATAAAAAGAAATTGGATAATAAGAATTCCTGTCTTGTTTGCCTGTGAATATTGTGAAATCCCACACATTTCTTGCTTGCCTGTCTGTTCTTGCTGTTTGTCTTACCTTTCAAGCTTTTCAAACAAGATTTGTTAAACTGAGAAAAGAGAAGAAACTGATGGAAAGCCATGCTGAAACTGTGGAAAACAGTGAGCAAAAGAGTCCCCATTCAGATTCCCAGTCTGGTATTTGATTAAATATGTTTTGTTATATTTATTCAATATCAGCCTTGTATTACTAGTGCGTTTCCTGTAGAAAATCCTTTGCAAATTGTCCATTTGAACATAGTGTTCTCACTGAAAGCAAGCTGCCACTTACTTCATTTGTCATTTCCAGAACAGACGAATAACTGTGTGAACTTTTGCTCGGTTGTCATTACATCATACATCACTACTTACAGTGATGTAGTAGGACAGACAGTATTGAGTGTAAGCCAGTGGAGGAGTGGGGAATGACTTTGAAAATCTAACCAGAAAATCTCACACTTTCTGTATTTCATACTCAAGAAATATTAATACTCTCTGTTCTACTTGTTTAATTTCAAAGTCTGCCATCAGATAAGTATTCTACTTATTTTCTGTTGATGATTTTTTTCTTTTTTTTTTCCCCCTGCTGACCAGTGGGCTGCTCTGTGCATGCTGCCCCTGGAATGGAAACAGTACAGTTGGTGTAATAATGACAAACTAAATTGTTTAATCTGCAGGATTATTTTAGTTAATGTAACTTCAGATTCAGCCTTTTACATGAAGTCACTTTTTATGCTATCTGAAGAGAAATTCCGAAGAATAATTAAGTTATAAACGTTGATCCATTAAATACTTTTGTGTAAATGACAATAGCAGTTAACTTGTATGTACTAGTTTAAATGTGGCTTTGGTGTTAAATTCAAGCAGATCAATAATATTTTGGAGAGCCATGACAAAGAAATATTTGGCACTTGGTCTTTAGATCATGTTGGTGATCTGCTATGTAGCCTATAGAACATTTCCCTGTGTTAGCTTTCTAGAGCGTATATACTACCCTGTTTTCATAAGCCTCATTTGCACAGAATAGCTATAAAGCATCTCGGTCTGGGAGATAAACACTAAAACTGAATCTGTTTCTCAAATTAGGCTTAATATTTGAAATATGAGCAATAGGAGGACTTTGGTAGTTACTTCAAATTACTGTTTTAAAAGGCTTCAGGTGTTTGCATTATTTACAACAGAAGGCATGCTGTCAATGCTTTTACTTTCCCAGTAAATGTGGGAGAATATAAATCTAGAGAAGTGATGCCTCACGAGTGGACTTGGACATCGGTTGAGAGAATGAAAGACCCATGCATTGTATCAGAATGGATTTCATACTGTTTCTCTTTTTGCACTGCACCTGCCATATGCTCGCCAGCTTCCTGTAGTCATCTTGGACCTTTCTGAGTTGTGTTAGCTTCTGGTCGCACATCCTCATAGTCCTGTTTCTGGCCTGATCCCCTAGACTACTCTTGCTCTCTCTTGTGTCAAGGTAAATTCAAAAGACCTGTAACTAAGAGTTTTCTCTGAATTAGCCAATTAGAAACCCCCTGCACATTGACAATTTGAACAAGGAAAAGTCTGCTACAGTGCATCTGGCTAGCCTAAGGTATATCATGTGTGTAGTGTGACTATCATCTAAGTGTCATGAGAGAGCACAGTTTTCAGCATAGGTACTGTTACCTAAAACTTAATTCTACTAATGTGAATGGAAGGCGTTTGGTTGTATTTTCTGCTAAGCAACTCCTCACAAGGGTTTGAGCAAACAACGTGCAGTTCTTCTACCTGACAGTGATAAAGACAGTAGTAATTCACATTTATGTACCTATGTTTTTCCACTCTTCTTTGAACCGATCTAGATGCTTTCTTTCAAAACGTGTAGTACAAAACTTCTTTTATTGTTGAAGTAGTTTTACTAGTTTTCTTTGTTTTCAGGTAATATATTGAGCTCCTAGAACAGTGTATTTGAATGCCAAGTACATGTGGAACAAGGAGGAGTTTGTCTTTTTTAAAAATAAAAAAACAGGGGAAAAAAGAGTTTTGTTCTCAGAAGTTATAAGTATTAACTTTAACTTTTAGTTATAGCTAGAAAATTGTAGATAATTTGATCTAGAAGAAACTGAACTGCATTACTTTTTCTGAAGTGTCAATTTGAATTCTGACTTCTTATTTTTCTCTTTATTCCCTGTCTATTATGTATAAAAACGTATAAATGTTTGCATACACTTAAAAGTAGTTCCCCCTAAACCTTCTTCCAGTGCATCTCGCAGCAAGGCTTTGTCTAAATTCACAATGCTGGAAAAATTTCATAAGAACAAGAAAGATTCATACTTAAACAAAGAAGAAGGAAGCCTCACTTCTGACAGTCCAGACAATTCTGAGGGTAACAAATTTACTGTATTTTATATGATACTAAAAAGGTAAAATGGCTCAATTCTGACAGTCCTGGTCAGAATAAGGAGAAAAGTTGTTACATTTTGAAAAGATGTTTGTCATTGTTTGTAGGTTTGAGTACTTTGTAGTTATGTTTTTAAACTTTTCTCTGTAAGTGTGGTGGTTAGAAAAATATTTCTAGTGAAACTCAGATTCTTTTTAGTTAATTTCAAATGGCAGGACTTTGAAAAAGAATACTGTGTATCATTAGCCTTACAAAATATTGCATGTGAAGATACAGGTAGTGAAATCTTTGGAGTTCAAGAAAACTGCTACTTCCAGAAGGTTTTATGAAAAGTAAGAAATACGTCCGTCCGTGTTCCCCCCTCCCCTCCCAAAAAAAAAAAAAAACAACAAACTTTTGCAAGCCCCACAGAAATCAGTAGGACTGGTCAAACAGCCAAAAAGTGAAAAGAGACTTTGAAATCCATCCAAGTTGATATTTTTTCCAAGTTAGATAGGTTTCTCAGAGTTCAGATTGTGTAGGGTGAGTGAAAAAAGACATTCTTGCTTTCATTAGCAACGGTAGTGTCCCCTGTCATCTGGGGTGGGTGTCTGGGGAGGGGCTGAGTTGCAAAACTCAATGGCTGCAAAACAGTGTTTGATTTTCAGGTTATTATGTGAGGTGCTTTTTATTTAAAAAGCTCTGGTCTGGTTTGAACTAGCCAAATATTTCAAAAATATTAGATGGCTCACATAAATCCCATGAAGTCTTCAAGATCAATCTAAATCTGTTCAGAAACTTCATTGAGTTTGAGGTGATTTAAATAAAATGACTCAGGAAAATGTTTTTCTTTAAAATTTTGTTCTGTTAAATGTTCTAATTGTCTTTTTACTGAAGTATATTCCCATCTCCTTTCTTGTAAATCTTATATAGGAGGGCAGTGACAGTTTATTTTTGATTCTGCTAACACATTCTTCTTGAAAAAGTAATGATGCTGGAGGTCTGGTGAGATTATGGCTAATCTAAAGGTCTGCAAAAAACTTGTGACCCAGCTGCAGACTCCTGTTTGCTGTCTTGATAACTAGACTGGAGTGCCATCTGGGTAAATTATTTCAAATTACTGCATTTAGTGATCAGAGAAATGGACTATTTGTACTTTTTCATTTCTCTTCAGCACTTTGAGCTTTCCATTTTATACTTTTCAATGTGGTAGCAAAATATATTTATTTAGCTATTAACTTTGTATACGTATGGAGCTTGACCTTTAGTCAGTGTCTCTGACATTTTGTTGCGTGCGAGGGAAGTCAGTCAGAGCCCTGTATGGAGGACAGAGTGGAAGTTAGATACAGGAATGTGGAAGTCATTTCCGAGATGCAGAATCTTATGCACTTAGCCTCCCAATAAAACGTGCAAGGGGACTTTATCGTTGAAATCAAGAAAAAAAACTTTTTCTACTTCTTAACAGGGAGGCTCTTATAATCAGAATGCATATGCTAAGGGGTGCCCAGCAGGGAAGGAGAAGGTGTTCAGACTCTTACTTTCCTCACCCTGCCTCACCCTGGGTACATTTTCAGTACTGAAGGGAGAGGATTCTCCGTGATATAGGCAAGTATGGCATTTCTTAAAAGGGACTTGGTTGGACCTGTTTAGAAGACCAGAGTACCAGCCCAGAGTTGAAGCACTTGATCGGCACGTGGAAGACTGCTTTAGTGTTCTTGATCTGAGGGGTTATTGATGTACGCATCTCCTGCAGTCCCCTGCCAGCAGGAAATGAGCTGTTGTCAGTGTCTTCACCCCTCCTGGTGTGGTCGGTACGAGAACACAGCTACAGTCTAAACATCATTTGGCCAGACAGAACGAAAAATTCTGAGTTTATTTTACCAACCGGAGATTCATGTTGGAAAAGACAGACATAGCTTCTGTTCCCTTCTGTGAGAGCTGTTAAATCATTTCATGTGTCATTGGATAAAATGCATAAGCAGCTTTTTCTCCTAGCCCTTCTCCTACGAGAACCTCTAAAGAATCTAGGTACAAATGTGTGTGTTTTAGGGGCAGGCAGAAGGGACTTGGTACTACTTTTTAACTAGTAATGTACTGCAATATTTGGCTTTTAGTTTTCTGTAAGGAAGTAGATAAGACAGCGTTCTGTCTGAGAGCAGAATTCACACAGAAAGTTGGTAAGATGCTGTTGAACCCTCCCAACAATGAAATTACAGTAAGGAGAGCAACTGCATGTTGTAGTTGCATAAACATACAGAATGGAAGAACAGGGTGTTCATCAGTGACCTTTAAGTAACTTTGTTTACTATCTTTTTTCCTTAAAGCATTTAACTGGCAACAAATGAAATGCAGCTGCTAAACCAATGGCTACAATTTTCAAAAATCTGTGGTGCTTTCTCTGGGGTAGTAGATCAAACGAAATGAACAGGCTTTTAACAAATGTTTGTTTCTGCATAGGGTTTGTGTGTGTGATTGTCTTCCATGAGTAACGTTACAGTAAGTTGATTTTTACAGCTGTTATATTTGCCCCGTGCTGAACTTTAGGTTTGTGTGCAGATATGAAGGATAGGAAGACAACGTATATAATAGCCTAATTAACTCTAATTAAACAAGGTTTGCATATCTCATAATAGACATGGAAGTTATATGAATGTGATTTGTGAGAGTGTATCTTTGCAGGGGCAACATGAAATTAAAATTCATGGTTCTGGAAGGTGACTGAAAGACTGAAGTGTCATACAAATAGCTTTTAGATGACAGTCAAGAATATTGCATCTTCTTTCCTAGGAATGCTTGGAGCCAGTGGAAGCTTTGTGAAGATACAGAACACTTCACAGCCTGTGGGAGAAAGTTGTGAGAATAAGCAGGTGGAAAAGATGCAGCTTCAGAAAAGTAATGGGGTTGCTGTCTCCTTAAGTAGAGACAGCCTGGAGGCAAACGGTGAGAACTGAGAGCGCAATCATTTCATGAAGTTAGATAGATCTAAATAAATTACTATTACAAGCAGTTTACCTTAATTTGTTGCAAGTTGGGATTGTTAATTTCTGTCAGCTGCATCTTGTGAACTGAAGGCTCCTGGTACTAGTTTGTGATGATTTGATACCGTTAATATGAGTCTGTTTATAGTTGCTTTTAACTGTTGTGACTATTCTGTGTGGACGTACAGCACAGACACAGTTACTTTATTCTTTGCTTTGGAATTTAGATTCAGTTTTAGCTTCTGGCCCTAATCAAAGTGCCGTGGGAGTTGGATTGGATACCTTGGAAGAACAAGAAGAAAAAGAGATCTTCTTTGCCAAACTTGAACGAGAAGCTTCCTCTACTATTGATTATTCAAGATTAAATAAGGAGCTCGATTCCAATGATTCTGTCATACTGACTCCGTTTGTACGGTAATTTAGAGGGAGGAAAAGTTGTGGACTGTATTAGTGGGCACATGTGGTATGGCCACTGAGGTTTCTGTGGGACAGCATCCTGTGTGATTTCAATCACTTGTTTGTTTGTTGTGGTTTGGGTTTTTTTTGAAGACAAGGACAGAAATGAGCTTAATAAAGAAAAGAAAGGAGTAAAGTGAGAGCATGACTTGCCGATGAGTGGACATAGCTGCACAGTCTTGTGTATAACACAGTAGTAACAAGTCTATTTAACATTCTTAATTGTAAGGTGTAACTAAATGAAGAGTTAACAACTGATAATAACAAGGAAATCGATCGGGAAAGATTCTGTGTCTCCTTTGACACGCTGTTACAGATGAATCTAGAGGAAAGATACACAGTCTTCATAGACTAGGGCAATCCATTTGTAATCACTGATGTGAAAATAAGTTGAAGCATGTGTGAGGGAAATGGATGAAGGGGCAATTCAGGCTCCTGTTGCTAAAAACGCTGAGTGCAAAGGAAACTTCCAATATGAAAATGGTTGGAGGGTCAGAATTCTGGAGAGGTTTAGGTAAGGACAAAACTTTAACTTTACGGGAAAAGGGGAAAGAGAGGAGTTTGTTGTTAATGCAGAAAAAGAAGGTCAGAACTGGAAGCAAACCTGATGATAAAAATTTCTTTGAGAAGCTAATGTAGATGTTGGAGGGAATGCAGAAAGGGCATGATTTTAAAAATTAGATTGAGAATTTTAACTATGGACTGTTGTGAAAACTTATGTGTTTTTTTTTAATAATTGCTGACGTTTATCCGCCCTTCTTACCTATGATTTGATATGATGGACAAAATGAGGGTTTTTTACTATTTTATTGCTAATTGTAAGAAGTATCAAAGTTTGGAGTTAGGAAAACAGTGTATTTATTTGCTGTCCAAGAAAAGAGTAAAATTTTTGTTTCGTTTCTCAGAAATGAAAAAACTGAAAAAGGAGAAGAGGAATCCGCACATGAAGAGAAATCTGGTAATACCGTCTTTCTAAATTGTTTATTTGAAAATTCTTTCCTTTTTATGTTTGGGGTTTTTTTAATTGCTGTGTGTACACTAAGAATTGTGAGAACCTCATTAAACAGAATAACAGAAATGATAGCTGTGGATTAGTGCTCCAGTTCAAATACAGAGTCTTCAGAAAACGTCACAGTAGGGGATCAGAGGATAGCATGGGATCTTCATCTTTGTAGTGGGGTGTAATTTGAAGGTCTGGAAAGAGGAAACTGTACTACAGTCTTGTAGCTTGTTCTATATGTTGCCTTTGGAGCTAGTCAGAAAACTCAGCTGCTTCTAGGTTTCAGATTCACAAGACAGTCCAGCATCCTCACTAAACTTTTTTGTTCTGAGTAATATGTAAACCAATTGACTTCTTTTTCCATATCACCCTGACTGTTGTGGGTAAAGCTTTTATTTATCTGAAAGCTAATGTAATTTTCCTATTAATGATTTTCATTTCTCTGTGGTTCTTACATCAGCCTTTTAGGCTGCCTTTGCATTATGACTATGCAGCTGTTATTCAGACAGAGGGTTTTAGGGTTAGGGGTTTGCTTTTGGTTTTGTGCCTTTTTTTTTTTTTTTTCTTTTTTGACAAAGATTTTTAATCTACTGTGACCTAAAAGACAAACAGAAATGAAAAAACCCCCAAACAACTATCAATCAAAAAAATGAAGAAAAAGTGACCCTGATGTTGAAATATGGCTTAATGTTTGAGTTCCTTTGGTATCTTAACTGTCATCTGTATTTTTGTACCATCTTTTCATGCCTGAGTTTAATCTCTGTTATTTGCAGTATTACTCTTACCTGTTCTTTCCCAAATTTCCTTACTACACTCCTTGCATCTTGCTTATTTGTCTTTCAGTTGTCGTCTCTCTTTATTTCACTCTTCATTGCTAGCATATGATAAAGAGTGTAATTCCTGTAATTTAATTGACAGATTGTATTTTCAAATTTATATATTTAGCTGAACTTTTGAGAGGACCTGTTGTCAGGCTTGAATTTCCCAAACATAAAGAGGGTGTATTTGTAAACCTTAATCACAGTAAATCTTTTCTTCTTGAAGGCTTGATTAATCTGTAGGCTGCAACAGATCATGATGGTTGTACCAGAAATGCTACAATAATTTTGTAGCATTTTTCGTAACAAAACAATTGAAATTATCTAATTGTTCTGGTCAGTTTTATGAAATTGACACTTCTGATTTTTAGGAAAACAGTTTGTATGGAATACCTGGAATGACCAAACTGTGTGGTTTTGTTTAGTCTTTGTCAAATTGCTATTTCATGAAATAGCAAACAAAATAGTGGATAATACATGTGCAGGAATAGTATAAGCACTGTGTATGTCCCAAGTCAGTATTAGAAAGCTATTTTCAGCAGATCAGACTTCTCAAGGTCCAAAACCAAAAAGAAAGTTGAAATAATGACTGTTCATAGAGTGGTTTTTACGTATGAGTTAAACTGTGTGTCAGTTGTATTGATAACAAAACACAGAAAGAACTCATTATAAACCAGTGGTTTGCAATGCTTCTAGATTTAAGCGTTACAGATAATGCAGACACTGAAGCCTGTAACCACAGGAGCTGAGTCGAGGAGATACAGCCACAGGGAATTAGAACTCATGGAAGGTTCTTGGTAACTGAAGGAAAAGCATTTGGCTTGCCTGTAAAATTCATTCTGTGACACACTTCTGTTTTTAAATAATGCTTACTCTTGAGAGTGGCTGTTGGGCCACCAAAGCAGGTCAGAGGAAGCAGAATTGCAGATTCTGAGCCTAAAAACTGCTGGAGTTGTCAAGGTGGATGTACAGAGTACTTAGTCTGCTAGGGGGGGAATTGCATCATTTCACCTCTAAGTGAGAGAAAGTGATTGAATAAATTCAAGTACAACTTGAGGAGACAGAGGTAAAGTATATCTGATCACAAGACAAACTTCATTTGAATTTAGAGATATTATGTGTGTCTTTTCCTGTAGTTCTGGTACCGCACCCAGTCTCTAAACCTTTCTGTTGCCTCTGTGAAAGGAGTAATAGTGGCAGTAGCTGTTCTTGGATGAGAGACTGGGGAAAAGGAAATAGCTTTCCCTCACTGCTTTATCTTCCTTCAATATTCTTTCTATTTGATGTTTATTTTGGTCTTCAGGCAGCTACAGTGAAGATTTTGAAGAAGAAACAGATGCTAATCCTGCCTTTAAAACTGAGGGAAATCAGGTGGATCAAAACATCATGTCAGGAGTTGATTTAAGTCCTCAAGAACAGGTATAACTTACCAAATGTTTATATTACTTGCATGAATTGTAAAAGCTCTGCAGTGTATAAAATTAAACATAGTAAACCTTTATATAGTATGTACTATCTGAGAGAAAAGAGTATAGTGGTCCTGGGACTATATTGTTCTGTTAAGGATATACACTTTCCTGTGATAAATCACTGAAAAGATTAAGTTCTTCAGAGGGTTTTCCTGCTTACTTCTTTGAATTAAGAATTGTGGATGCGAGTACACAAATGATGAGCTCAGGCTGGAGCCTTATCCTCAGAATGGGTAGTGATTAATGTCTCTCTCGGAACTATTAACATGGTGTCAACACCAGCAAGTGACACAGACCGAGGGAGTTTCTGTACAGAGAAGCAGTTTGGACCAAGGACCCAAAATCTACCCTGGATGATCTTTGGGGCTGTTATTGTCAACTGGCTTAGTCAGGTCTTTTGAGGTAGAGCACATGTGGCTGGAGCACAGCAGGTGCATTCCTCGAGCACACATTCTGATTTGGTTGTTTACAAAAGGAGTCTATAGAGCACTGTGTGTTCACCTGTAAAAGATAAATGTGGGGTTTTTAGTTCCTTTATGTAAGTTTATTAAAATAGTATTTTTAATAAATGTTTGAAAAGAACAAATAGAATGGAAATAATGTACTTACTGCTACATTATTTTCTTTTCTCAAATTACAATGTAAGACAACCAGAAAGGTGACAAAATATTATTCCATTTATGTGGGGTAGCGTTTAGTTTCCAGTCACTTGTGGGAGGGTTTATAGAGTACAGGATGTTGAGGACCTTTTGGCATCCTAAGGAGAGTTTTAGAAAAGTGCATATTCTTGGAACACGAAGAACAGCTCAGTTCTAAGTTCTAAGAACTGTTCTTAGGTTTTAGACCAACTTTTAAAGTTCAACCAGATTTTTTTTCCCCCTGAAATTCAAAAAATAATTTTTTTTTTTTCTTTATTTTTGTTAGGAAGAAGCAAACGCTGGCATGCTGGCTAAAGGTAAACTATAAACTTTGATCAGTAGAACAATACTAAATGTAACTTCTTGAAACTTGCTTACCTGATTTTTCACTATTTTGATATTTTTCACCTGATTTTATTGTGTTCTGGTGAAAGTCTGTTGGACTCAAATGATTAAAAATTAACCTACATGTTGGCACTTCAAAGTGATCAGCAATGTGATTTTTTCTATTGCTACATCTAGTCAGTACTCAGATGTTGATGCTTACAATCAGAGTTAATCAGTTTACCATTAATGGCATTAGAATAATCTATATAGCAATTTTTTTTGCATGTTTAGGACATCAAGATAAGGTTTGGTATACTTCTAATTCCAGTGTAAACAGAGTATAAATAACAGAGTTGTGTTTTCTTTAACATTTATCTTCTTGGTTTTAGTTGTATTACTTGATTCACAAGATTCAACTACAGAACTTCAAAAGGCCGTTGAAACATCAGATGTAGCTCTAGGTGAACCTTATCTGCCTGAAGAAACGAATGGAATTGAAATGAACAAAGCAGGTAAGGGTTGCTTTAAAAAAAAAAAAAACACCAACAAACAAACCAAAAAAAAACCCAACCAAAAAAGCCCCCCACATAACAAAACCCAAACCCCAAAATCTTTCTTTAGTAGAATAGGTGGCTCTGATGTCTTCATTTGTTCTGAGGTTATCAGTGAACATGAAGCCCTTGGCTTTTAGTAACAAAGCTTGAAAGGAAGAAGTATTTCAGGAAAAAGTCAAGTTTCTGCTAAAAATACACCTTTTTACACTTGGTTATTGTGAAGTTGCTTTTGACATTGCAGTTTGATTTTTAAATACTATCTCGTTTGGTTATTCATCATAGCTAAAATTCTTCTGTGACAGCATTGAACGCAATTATAAAATGCATTCTCATATCAAACTTTGTATAACAGTATATGCCACTTGTATCCAGAGCGTGGCTCTGATTGCATCTGTTAAAATAGTTATATCACATATGCTGTTAGTTTTAGTACTGATAAAATATTGAGGTGGGAGAGGGGGTTGGAGAGGCATGCAAACTGTAGATGAGACTATTTAGTATGTACTAATTAACCTGGCAACTGTTTTTTTTAATAGTAAAAATGAGATTTTAAAATATATTTTTCATAACTAAAATTACTGTTCTCTCCACATAATAGAGCAAGCTAATAACTGAAACACGGGCTCCACTGGGATGTTTCCCAAAATAGAAAATCCTGTAGTGTCTCTTACGAACCTGCATTTTTCACAGGCACTTATGGACAAACCACCAGTGACATCGAAGCGTTACACCAAGCATACCATCATGTTGATCAATCTTTGGGAGACACTGATGAGCAAAAACTGCATGATTCTGCAATGGCAGTCTCGGAATGCTTAGTGCAAGGTGTTTCACAAAACAGTGACATCTATTCAAAAAACATGTCAACTATTGAATCAGGTAAATACCTCAAAGGAAGGCATGTATTGTACAAGCATGTGATATGAGTGAACTAGTAATTTCTAATACTCCATTTATGAAACATTTTTAAATGTTGTCCTTTTCAGAAATATTTTTCCAAAGTTGTTTTTTTTGGTTCTGTTTTTTTGCGCTAATTAGATTTACCTACTGTGGAAGAATTGATGAAACCAATTAAAGGACATTCATGTAACATCAGAAGTTCTGATGCAGAGCGTGAAAGGTATTTATTTCAGAATGCATTTTAGGAATTGTAATAACTTAAGTCCACTAACTATTTGTAAAAAACAGCTTACTAAATAACTCATCCATCTTTTTCCCTAATTAAATACTGAAATTTCATTATGTCTTGCACTGGCATTGTCACATTTGCAGTAAATTGTAAAATGAATGTACAGGGTTAGTTGGTTTAGACCAGGGATTCCCAAACTTTGAGTGATAAGCAGCAATGTTTGCCAAATCATTTGGAGGAGTGTTCCTCACTCTCACAGCTACCACTGCTAGGATTGCTGCTTTCTCAGTCTTCTGCTCTTTTCCCTCCAACATATACGGATTTCAGCCCCCATCCTATCCCAGCTCTCCAGCATCCATAATCAAAGATCAAATCCTCTTACTCCGCTTACTCTCATGATTCTTACTAACCTATGCTCTGTATCTCCTTCTGGTTTGCTCCAGCTGTTGCGTCTAGAGCAGAGAGCACAGGCCCTGGAACTGTCAGAAATAGATTATGCTTAGCAAATGAGTTTGGGGAGTTTATCGTGTTTTTCTGCACCCGGCAGAAATGACCATTCATTGTTTTATTGGCACTAATTGTGTGCTTGCAGGTGTTCGTCTTGTAGCCGAGTTTGGTACCTCCACAAAACCAGTCACTCCTGGGAAATGGCTCTTGTTCCACTGCGTGGGAGTGAATCTGTATGACTAAATCTGCAAGTTTGTTCTTAAAAGAAGCCTGGTGGCTCTTTCAAATTCAAACACCCTTTACAGCTGGTGCCTAAAGGAAAAATAGCCCACTTTCTCCAGAGTGATAGAAAAACAGAGGGTAAAAGTCGTCTTATATGTGACTTTATTCCTTTCTCTTGTAGTCCTGTGGAACTGGTAGGCAGCACAGCAAATGACCTTGTCAGCCACTTGCCCTTTAAAGAGCACTGGAATAATACAATTTGGGAGACAAACTTACTTGACAAATTTAACAAAGAAGAGAGTGTCTTTCTGCAGACAGTTGTGAATGATGATAACTTTCAGAGGGGGACTGAGAAAGAAATTCAGACCGGTGAAGTACAGCCTGATGTACTAAGAGAAAAAATTGTACAAGACTCTCTGCTTTCACAAGGCAGCAAAACTAAACAAGTAAGTAATATCAACCAGATTGTTATTATATGGAAATACATTTAAAATGTGTATATTTTTAGACTGCCTGTCATTTGATTATGCTCTGATGTTTCAAAATTGAGAGACTGTTGCTGTTTTTCTTGAAACTCTCATGTTACCATTGCTATTGTTAGAGGTATCCAAATCCAGTGGACTTGGGGACCAGCGGGATTCTTCTTGTCCCAGCCCAATATGCACAAGGCTGCTGCGGTTCCATGTCCCCAGCTCAAGCTCGTAGCGAGTCTGAGCATGTGTTCCCATTGAGGGAACACGTATAAACACACATGGGCTCAGAATAGAGAGCGTACCTACAGAGAGGACAGTTAGAAATACAATTCAGTGAGAATATAGGAGAGACTGCAATGATCAATGTTGGGCTTAGTCAGACAAGCGTACTGACCAGCAACCTGGTCATGTCACCAGCTTCTTTAATGTTATTTTCCCCTCTATTTCCCACACTTGTTCCTACTTGATCCACCTTAATCTCTCCCTTCACCTGTTTTTTTTCCTTTCCCTAAACATCCTGAAGTTTTGCACATTCTCACAATCTTTTCAAACAATCCATAACAAGATTTACACAATCCCAAATCTTCTCCCTGCATCCCCAGATTCTCTTCTTGCATCCCCTAAATTAGCCCCACAGACCTTTAGGCAATTACCTGTTCTGACTGCAAGGCATTGCAGGGAGAGAGGTTGTTTGGCTGATTCATCCTGGTGGATTTCCCACCAGGCCGATAGGCCAAGCTTCTCATTTGCTGGTCTTAGGAGTTGTGTGCTCTGTTTTTGATGACCAAGTTTAGCAGGGTTCCTCTGCCTGCCACTGTTCCTCTCTTCATTGCTGAGTTTCTGTGTTCAATGTGATTAGCATTCAGTCACAAGCTACCTGCTTTGGTAAGCTACAGATCCTGTAACGTAATACAACTTCCCAGAACAATTAAACGGAGCCAGTACAAAATACTTGCACTACATATACTTCTGAAGTAGTAAAATTCTGAAAAATGACATACTATTAATTTGGTTAAAAATAATGCTTCCCACCACCCCAAGTCTTACAAGTGTGTAGTTCTGGTAACTGGTTCTATGTTCTTTTGGTAGTGAAAGCTAGCTTCAGATTACATTAGAGCCTAAACCTTGTTTTAAACAGATGTGCTCTGTCACAGGCTCTTCGGTCATGTTCCTTGAAGAATGAAATATCGGAATCAATGACAACTAAACCAATGTTATACAAGAATATCAGAAGTCCAGCACCTTTACATAAAAGGAAATCTTCATATGGTCCTCATGGGGTGGTTAGAAGTTCTGGGTATGGGAAACGTACTTCACTCTCAAAACAGTCTTTTCCAGTTAATGAAAAGAAAACACCAAAAGAAACTTTCAAAAAGACCAGTGTGAAAGCCAAAAGTCCTGCAGATAGAGCAAGATCTAAAGGTAATTCTATCTTAAGAAGTCTGAGTTTTAAGAGCCAGAGAGCTTTGCTGTTCATGCTTCATATTTAAAGAAAAAAAAAAAAAACACATTTCAAAATGTTGTAGAAGAAATCTAAACCCAAATGCAATTAAGTACTGATTTTTTTTCTGTATCAATATGAAGTTGCTGGAAGAGAGACACTTAAATAAAGCTGTGCACTATAGTCTTGTTTCATTTCCACTCACATATACCACCACTATGTTTGAGACTTACCTATTGTTCACCGGTAGGACCAAAACAATAGAAAAAGCTGGTGTTCAAAAATAAGTATCTACAAGTTACATTTTTCCTTACAGTAAGTGCAAAGATTTGCTAACACACTGACTTCTGTGTGTGATGCTGAATTTCTATTCTCAGCTGCTTCTTTTTATCTTTGCTTTCCTAGAGGTCAAAGAAAGCACTAAAAAGAAAGTCATATTTTCTGTTCATGTCTCTTATGACAGTAAGGAAAGCAGAATACCAATGTAGTCCAATGAAAGCTGAGTTGCAAGTAAAGGACTGAACTTTTTTTATTTTGGGCTGAAGTCTGAAGAGTTTAATGAGATAATTCAGCTTAGTGTCTGTGCAGATGATGTTTGCTATCTCGGAGGCATGGGATAATAACCCCACAGATGCCTAGGTTTTAGCACACTTCTAGCATGTAATGCTTTTAAAAACCCTGCAAGTAGCGTTGGGAAAAGCAGTTTAGGATTATGTTGCCTGTTTTAGGGAGATGCTTCAGTGGCGGTTGTCAAACTAAGGGACCTTAGTGCCTCAGTGCATTGCTGTGGCACTCCCTGGAGAAGAGAAGGGTGTACAGCCAGATTCAGATGGTGAAGTGAATGATGAGTCCCGAGAAAATGAGGCCACTAGCCTCATTCAAACATATTCTTCCCTCTCTAGCTATAACCGTTCTCCGTAGCAATTTCAGGTGACTTCAGAAGTTAATCTCACCGGCTTGCATTCTGCAGGGACTTCTGTAGCTAGGAAGAGAATGGCATTGAATCAAAGAACTCCCTAATCATCAGTGCTAAGAGAGCACCTTTGTGAGGGGACAGAGTGAGAAATGTAAAAATACTAAATTTGGAAAATGGTCATTGCCTGTTTGTTTCCAGGTATAACATTCCTAAGCAGGACCTCTTAGCTTAAATTGCTAGAGGCAAAAATGAAATGCCAGTTGTACTTACTATCTGTATTTCAGAAGACTAAGATGTGGATAGTTCCATGAATGTTATTTACTCTCTAGGGGAAACTTCCCTGATTTTTAATTTCCAGTCAAGTTGCTATTTGCTGCAGCAAATGAGTGTTGCATGTCTTTGTATGCTGTCTGCACTCCGAAGTCCATTTTGAAAACTGCTGTGTCTTGCCTTCACCATAGCTTGAAATATGTTGTATTTCTGTATGTTTAGATAACTGACCACTTCTCAAGCAGAGAACTGAGGTTAACCTTGTTTCATGAAGGATTTATTGTCCAGCTACTTGTTTCAGTTGTTTCCTTGCTTTTTGTTTTATCTTGTCATTGGTTCCTTACTTAAAAACAACTACAATATTTTCCTTAATGTCTCATTGCTCTCAAATTTCTACATTTAATTCAAAATTCAGGTTGTAGAATACTTCATTTATATGCTAAGCGGTAGATCACGGGAATAGATTTTTTGAAAGGACATTAAATTCTGAATTTAATTTTGTTCTATTTTACTTTCTGCCTAAATGAAGAAGCCTTATTTGCTACTAGGATAATAAGATCTGCAACAAGTGAACCAGCTTTGAAGGGAAGTATTAACAGAGTTATGTCTGACCAATCAGTTGTTAATAATCTTGGACACCAGGCTGTGGAGCATTGTAGACAATATCAGCATGTAAGTAATAATCAGCGATGCTCCTAATTACAGTATGTACATCTTGGTTTGCAAGCCTATTTTGTCAAGACTTCTAATAATTATCACAAGATTGGCAAACGCTGAAATACTGAATAAAGACTTTCCTTTAGTCAAATACTAGGTTCTGCTTTTAAAATATGCAAGTACAATCATACTGCTTCTCAGTTGCTTGGGTGGTTCTCTATACTTAGAATGGTTATTAATTTCTAAAAATTACTATTTTGTGGTAGAAAAGGGGGAAATTTTAAACAAAACTTTTACTTAAAAGTATTCTGTTATGAATGTTAAATAGTACCACTGTTTGGGGCACTGAATATTTAATAGTATCTTCTGACTTCTCCAAGATGACTACATTTGCAGTGCCATGATGGATTTTCCTTCTTCCCTATCAACTGTATAGAAAACTTATTCATTGAATACCTAAATCATTATGGCTTTTCAAAAAGTAAGATGCATAATAGAATAATTCTGGTAGCCATGTAGTGGCTCTCATATGAGAGGTGGTTTTTTTCGCGTTGTTTTTTTTGGCTTGTTTTCCTCATGCATAATTTGGAAATGAGAAAGTAGCTCATTAAAGTAAATGCAGGATGTTTTGCTATTAGAATGTTGTTTTCTTCTCAAGTGCCTTATGTGATTGTTGAGAGCCAGACAACCCAGTTAAATAAAATTGTTTACCAAAAATTCCACTCGTCGATCAGCTCAGTGTAATGTTTCCCTGAATTTTTCTCTTCACTAGGATGTATCGTTTTCTCCTATCAAAAGTTGTGATAGAGAACTATATTTGCTAAAACGAGTACAAGTTGCAGAGGAGGACCTGAACGCAGCTCGTGATTTGATTCAACAGCTAACCAGCACGGTGTCACAAAAAGAGAAAGAAATAGAAACAAAGATAGTAGAATTGAAAACACAGCATGAAAAAGAGCTTTCTCAGTTGGGTCAGAAAAACTATGTTCTTCAGAGTAAGGTACTTTATCATCTTGTATCTCATTACTATAGAACAGGAGAAACATTGCTTCTGAAAATTAATGTTATTTTACATGAGTTGTTAATGAGCAGAAAATCCAGATTTACACACACGCTGCTACTTTGTAAATGCATACCCGCTGTTATGTTTATTGCATATAAGACCTGATCTTTTTTTTTCTACAGAGAGAAACTCTGTTATCCTGAGTTCCTTTAGTTTGCTATTTTGAGAGTTCTGTGGCAGGTTTTTTACAAAGATTTAACTCAGTCTTATGTAAAAAAAAAAAAAAAGAGATTAACAGATACCACTTGTTATAGATAAGTACTGTATGTTGAGATGCTGTTTATTTTATGATGCATTTTTCAATGTTGTGTTTTGTCTATGTGACATATTCCTAGGATTATTCCATTATACCCTACTGTCTAGATACATAAAAACAGAAGAGGGAGGGTAAAACTTTGTTATCTTTTCCCAAACCTTTTATACTTTGTTTCTGTTTTGTAATGCTTCTATAATATTCCTATAATAAGATTGGTTTATTGGTCTGCTTTCATATCTTAATGAAAACATTGACCTATTTGTATTATGAAAGTGTAGTCTTGTAGAGAATTCCATATTGCTAACAAAGCTTTCTTATTAATTGTGTGTCTTTTTCTTTCTGAAAGTTAAGAAGTATGGAAGAGCTGACTCAGGAAAAGAGATGGACCCATCATACAGCAACATTTCCTGTCACTGAAGAAAAACTGGCACAAATACAAAAAGAAATTGAAGATCAAGAGGTCATTATTCAAGGTTATCAACAGGTATTGAGCTGTGTTCTAGCCAGTTTCAGAAACAAAATCATTTAATGGTTACTACTTTTCTGTTGAAAGCAGTTAGTTTGCTATCCAGAAGGTGGGTGAAATTTAGGTGTGAAGGGCAAACGCATTGCACATTTTAAAAGTGTTTCACATGTCTCGTATGGGCCAAGTTTTTCCACTATTCCAGCTGATGCTCAGCAGCATTTCTTGGTACGGGCACAATGTCTTGCCAGTGTGGCTGTGAGCATCCCGAATTGGTGATGGTTTGTGTCTACAGGACTGGAGCACGTGCAGGCTGAGCTCTGATCTATCAGCACCCATCCATGCTTTTAGAATATAGTTCAGATAGCTTTGCAGAGGAACTGGCCTAGGCTCTCCAGAGTGAGCAGACACTTGGACAAGGTTGTAGAGGTCACTGTATACTACTTTATTTAGCATAAAGATAATAAAAGGAGATATCCATGTAGGAAACTTAGTAATAGAACATTTAGTGTTTGTTTCCACTGTTTCAGTAGGCAAACTATGCAAGTCATACACAACTGTCTTTTAACTGGGTAAAACAGTAATTTATGAACATTCTCTAACTTTATCTGTCTCAACTTAGGAAAATGAGAGGTTATACAAACAAATGAAAGAGCTACAAATCCAAAACAAAAAAAATGAGGAACGAATGTTTAAGGAGAATCAGTGCTTAATGTCTGAATTAATAGCCCTAAGGTAGGCTCATTTAAACATCTGACCTAAAATCTCTGGAGTTTTCAGCTGTGTTTATTACTTTATTTTTGAAGAATCACTGCAGAGTCTATCAGGTGTATGTTTTCCAACGTTTCTTGGGTTTGTGGTTTTGCTTTTCCTTTTGAGAATTGATTTATGTTGATTATGGGCACTTAATTCTTTGTCTTCTTGCTGATGTTGCAGACTTGTGGGAAGACTAGAGTCTTCCATTTGGGGAATATTTCAGTGCTGAAATTCAGATATTCATATTCATATCCAAATGTGTAATATGAATACTACACTTGTTCTGGTATTACAGCTCTGCTTATGTGTCAGAATGTTTTGATAATGTTGTAAGATACACAGAGGATCAGGGGCCACAAGAGATCCTGGTAGTGAAGGAACCATGAGATTCACTGCACTGTAGGTCCTGTAAGATTTGCATCCTGTGCTAGTAATGAGGATTGTGTGTACAACCTAGCAACTGCGGGTACTCCTAATTTACAAATCTTTGCTTGGGAGAGGCCCGTAGACAAGTTCCACTGATGCAGCGTAGGTTTTGTTTCCCTCCCTTGTGTAGTCCCAGCAAGCCAAGTTTGTGCAAGGTGAGAAGATTTCACCTTGCAGGTGAAATTTTTTGGTATAAAGATGTACTGCATAGTTGCTTCTTTCTTTGTTTTGAGTGTGCACAGGTTGATTTTTGTGGTACCATTTTGGGGGAGGTTGTTTGTTTTTTAGTACGCCACTGTTAGTATGCCAGATCACCACATTGCATAACTGTTTTTGCTGTTACTGTTTAGAGAAAAGATAGAGAAGACTAATATCCAGTCACGTATCATGCAGGATTCTGAACCAGCCAGAAATCAGAGTTTCACAGAATTGATTTCAGAGCTTCGAGCAGCACAGGTAAGTATATACCAAGCCTGTATTTCATGTGTTCTTACAAAAAACACGTAACCATGCGTATTGTAGACTAATAATGTAAATTAAGCAGTGAAGTATGCTATTCTTCTACAGCATTAATTATTTGCCATGCTTGTATATCACAAGTGTCTCATCAAATGAACTTTCGGAAGTAATCCCCTAAGACATAGATTCACTGAAAGTAGTACAGTGTTGCCATGTTTTCTGGCAATTCTAAAATATCTTGCGAGAGCTTGCAGAGAGTAGTTGATAGCTTTATAGTTTTCCCGCATAAGACAAATGCAGAAGAATGTTTATCCCTGCTCTGTACCAAGTAAGTTCTAGAAAAGAACATCAGAGTGAAAGGAATCTTTTGTTACTTATTCATGTAACTTTCTTTGTAGTCCTACAAATGCTTGTGGTTTTGAGGGAGTATGTTTAGTAAGCTTCATGTTAAAATTAAAGGTTTTCAGGAACTTCTGTTGCTCTGCTTACTGCAAGTTGGGGGGACTGTTCTGGTACATACTTCATCTGATAGTTAGACTAGAAATTAAAAGCTGCTTCTTCTGGTTTTTGGAAACAACAACTGGTTAAGTAGATGATAAGAGGATCTGAATCCAGTGAGCTCCAGAACCAGCAGAGGCGTTCCAGGTCTGATAGAGCTGACTGAGCTCTTAAGACTTTAGGGGCTCCCCTAGTTCCAAGCTCATGGGTGCTGCTGCTACGTTTCCCTGTCCTTAGGTCCAACCTGTAATGAGACTCAACACAGGATCCAAAGATGGAGAGAGACACACAGACCACACTAAATGTGGTCAGGCACACAGAGGGCGTAGAGTCTAGTGCCTTTGCTTGCACCACAAAAATACAGACAGTACTGTTGGAAACACAAGGAGCACATGTGGCCTGATCCTGTTCAGCAGATCAGAGTAGGAGTTCGCTAGCAGTAACGCACATACATGCACGCGCTGGCCCTTGCTGGCCCTGGACGTTTGGTCTGTTTACTGACCAAGTAATCTCAAAAATCTCAGTCCTTCAGTTGCTGCTTCTTGTACCTATGGATTCCTAGGACCAAGGGTCTCCATCTCCACAGGTGGCACTGGTACTGAGACCTTTCGTCCTACTTAGTCTTGAAGTTTGCCAGTGATCACGCATAGACAGAACAGAGAGTGCCTGCAGAAAATGGTGAGAAATAGAGTGTGGTAAGATGAAGTGCTGGACAATACACGTGTCCATTTAAGCTACAGTCTTAAGTCTTAGAAATAAGTAAAGCCGTTTTCTTTACTAACCCTCTCAAAAGGCAGATGTTTTCTACTTCTAAGGCCGTTATGTAAGACTTATTTTAAAAAAATAAATAAATATTTTTCCTGAAAACCTTTAATTTTAACATGAAGCTTACTAAACATCCTCCCTCAAAACCCCATGCTCTGCTATAGCAAGGCCTGAGAATAATACCAAAACTAGAAAACCTCATTGCTGCTGTGGTCTGACACAACTGTTGTGATGTAATCATTTTATGGTGACAAAGTGTGTACAGGTTTTTTGTATGACAGTGCGTGTTCAGTTTTTCTTGTCTTACTGTTTCCTCTAAAACTCAGAAGGAAGAAACTAAATTACAAGAAGAGATAAGACGTCTCAAACAAGATAAGCAAGCTCTTGAGGTAGACTTGGGGCAGGCAAAGAAGGAGAGAGATTTAGCAAAAGTCCAGATTGCATCCACATCAGGTAAAGCACCTTCATTTTGTTGAATAATTTTGCCTACTCTGTGCTTCACTACATAAATGTAACCAAAACTTGTTTCTCATTAAAATATTACTTAGTCAAATGCAACTAGACCTTTTCCAAATATTGTCTAAACTTCTAATAAAAGCATACAGTGAAGGACATGCTACAGTACCTTTGGCACTCAATTAGAAAGCCTTTTCTTGTATCCAGCCAAACTCTTTGTTGTTGCCTATTAAGCTTGGTTTCTTGCCCGTCTTCCAGTGGGCATGGAAAACAGATGATTCCATTTATATGACAACTTTCTTCGTAAGAAAAGATTTACTGTGTTGCATCTTAGTCTCCTATTTAGATCTTGCCCATTTTTCACCTATAACTTATACCTTGTGTCTTTTTTTCAATGTTCTCGTCAGAACTCTTTCCAGTTTGACTTTAGTTTTCTTAATGAGAGAGGGCCAGAAGCTGGACTCTTTCACTTCCAATATCAAGTATCACAAATGCTAAGAGCTGTAATATTTACCTCCATGTCTCTTCTTAAAATGCTTGATCCCTAAATGGGAGAAGTATGGTCAATACATATCTAAGCATATATTCTATATTGTCATCCCTGTTGTTACTGAAAATTTGTTTACTAGAACATGATCAAGAATAGATTCCCCTGGGATTCTGTTTTAAATACTTTCCATGGTAAACTGTGGACCATTAAGTACTACTATATATGACAGAAAAAAGGTGGGTTTTTTTCCAATACTGTTGCATTTAAAATCCTAATTAGGGCCTGGTTTTAAAACTTTGCTGCAGTAACAGGATTGTCAAAAGAGTAAATGTATGAAATGTTTTGAGAAGGATAGTGTTGACTAATTAATTCTTCAATACATAATTACTAATAAAACAATATTACGGATGTTTTGTTCTTGTAGATGAGAAGTCTTATGAATTTAAAGTTATGGAAGAATCATACAAACAGGAAATTACTAGTTTAAAAAGAAGGCTTCAGTGGTATGCAGAAAATCAAGATCTTCTGGATAAAGATGCAGCCCGTCTTAAAGATGCAAAAGAAGAAATTGAGAAACTAAAACTAGAGGTGATAATGTCTAGCTTTATCTAAGAAATTGGAACTTAAAATTATTTCTTTTCTAGTGATGAGTATAATGTAATTCTGTCCTTCACAATAATCCCTTTTTTTCAAGAAAAAGCATGTAAACTCTTTATAACCTTTAAATCCAATGTGGACTCTTTATATGCAAAAATTGATATTACTGTGTATGCAGTGAGATTTGCAAGTGCAGAATGCTTAAAACCTGGTTTGCTTCTATTGGACATCTTGATGCGCCTGGAAACAAAAGTAACGTGTTTCCTTAAAACCTGCGAATTTCTTGACTAAGAAAAGGAAGTACATTGTTACATTAACAACTTGGAACATCCCTCTTGTCATTCTCTTTTCCTCCTTTTTACTCCATGGTAGCATAGGCAACACTTTTTCTCTTAAGTACCGGTTCTAAATTCTCTCTTAGAAAAATTCTCTGGTTGCTGTAGTAGGGAGGAAAAAGCCAAAACACTCAAAATATAAAGCAAGCAAAACTAATACATGAATATTGAATAGTTCTGAGATTTGCATTGCCTGCTTGTCAGTAGATTTGACTTAGGATTCACAGAAATGAAGAATTTTACCAGTGATAAAATAGAATTGATCTTGGAATTTTTTCATGGTGTTTTATTAGAGCGATCACAGATGAAAGGAGGTGCTTCTGAAGGAGCAGCCAGGGAAGGAGATCCCTTAAACACCATCATGTCAAACTTTGATCAACGTATCATTGCTGTGAAAGAAAATATTTTTATTTGCATTTTCTCCAGGATGGACTGGTGTTTAAAAACAATGAAGAGCTTTGACTATACTGGCATAAAAGCATTACTTATGCTAACGTTGCCAACATGAGAGAGAAATCAAGATAGGAATAATTCCAACTGTACAAGGTGTAACTTCCCTGTACAGTGGTTGTAGTGGCTGATAAAGGTAGGAAATTAAATTTTAAATTAAAGCTTTGAGTCTTCATGGCCAGACTTTGTGGGAGTGCAGGAGCATTAGCTATCCAGTTCCTTCCCCTGATCCTGGGAGTCAGCATTTCTTTAGGCACAACATAATGTTGCCTTTTGGCTATTTCTGTATCTCATCACGGAGCATATCCTTGCAAATCACAAACCATTTCCTTAACTCGCTCTGAATTCATGTAATGCGCTGTAGTACTTTATATTATAGCTTATTAACCAAGCCTGCATACTGGAAGTATGGGAGAAAGAAGGTTTACTGATCTGAAGACAAGAATGTCCCAGAGCTGAAGTTCTCTTCTAGATTTTCATAGCTACTTTCAGCTCCTTTGATCTTAAGTGGCTTGAAGAGTCTGTAACTTAGTTTAAGAACCTGAAGTATCAGTACAGAAATTACTATTACCAGTTTTTAACTTGCAGAATACTTCCATTATATTGTGTGTGTTTGAAGTGCTTACTTCTGTACTGCAGAACAATGTCTCTGAATATATATTTCAATTATATTTTCTCATAAATTGGATAGGTTGAGAAGCTCAGAGCTGAAGCTGGAGATCAGTGTGTGCAACAGAAGAAACGTTTGCGAGACAGAGCAGCAGATGCTAAAAGAATTCAGGATCTTGAGCGACAAGTATGCAATAATAGAACGGTGTTTCATTTAACCTTTATTTCAGATAAACACTTACCAGCCCTTTCATAAAGATAAAGCATTGAATGAAGCCCTGTGATAAACTTGTGCTATGGAACACTCTTAACACAAAAAGCTACAATTATTTACTTACAAAGAGCTCTTCTGCTACTATGTTCTAATAAGCTATTTACCGATAGCCCTTTTAAAATCCTTTAACATTAAAATACTGTTTAGATTTTCTTGGAAAGGGACAGGAGGTCAAAAGCATACGCAAGCTTGCTCTTTGTCTTCTAAGACTCCTGTCTATGTTCAGTAATCCCTTAACATTATGACCACTTTCAACCAAGTTGATTCAAGACTAGGTGTTTAAATTTTACTAGATTCCTACAAGATTCATGAAAACTGAGGGAGTAAAGACCTTAAAATCCATGTTTCTACTGAGGAAAAGTCAGATGGAAGTGGGCCTTTCTGAATTTTAGGAAATGGTAGCTGCAGTTGGTCGGGATGTGGGACAAATGAGAAAGAACCTGTGCGGTATTCTAATGTGAAGAATATCTTATCCATAGATAAGAGGGGCTTGTTATTAGTCTTGCATGCAAGGTGTTAGTTTTATTTTATTGCAGACTCCAAAATAAAAGGCATATAACGTGTTATTGGGAGAATAATTTCAATACTGTTATGAAATATCTCTGTAACAGTTGGAAAAGTAGAATGTGAATGTAAGTCTAGAAAAAGAGCAAGTGCTTTAACAGCATTAAGAGCCATATAGAACCTAAGTGCTAGGAAGTAAATAAAAGGTCCATTTGACATAAGACAATCTGAAGACCAGAGCAATATTTTGTTTAAGATGATATATCAAGTCAGTCAGTAAGAGATGATGAGTCTTGCTTTTCTGTAAACAATAACATAAATGTAAACAATGTAAAAAAATTGTCAACATATGCATCTCTAGTTTTCATTCTTCACCTAGCTTAAGTGGGTGACATTTGTTAACATTCTGTCACTTATTTCCGTTCACTTTTCATTAGAACTTTATTATTTTTGACTTCTGACTTAATTTTCTTTTTGATAGATCAGAGAAATGGAAGGAATTCTGAAAAGAAGGTACCCAAATTCTTTGCCTGCTTTGATTTATGCTGCTGCTGCTGCTGAGAAAACTAATGATCATTCAGCTAAAACAAACACAATTGATTTTTTGGAGAGACGAATAAAAAAGTTAGAAACAGAACTTGAAGGTAAAGATGATGAAGCTAAAAGAAGTCTCCGTACCATGGAACAACAATTTCAAAAAATAAAGGTAAAAATTGAGGACTTGTTGAGTAGTCTGCTCTGCAAGTAACAGTCACAAGGTTGCTCGGGTCTAACACAGAGTAGTGGTGAAAACTAAAGGCAAAGACCATATTCAAGGGAAAAAATATTCAAAGAATTTATAATCAGAATTTCAGTAGGTTTAGCACCCAAGATGAAAAGAGCATTGAAATTGTTAGACTAGTATTGAAACCAAGAGGACAAGTTCTTGAGGTATAATAATTTAATTCTTACAATTCAGATAAGTTCATTTCATCCTGTGGGTCAGGTAGCTGCTTACCTAATTCCTTCTTGTACCAAAGGCTGTCCTTTCAAAGGTCTGCCGACTGAGCATTTCTGCAGGGAACGTCTGGGAACACTAAACATTCTTTCCAAAAATTGCATGGTAGCAAGTCTGAAGACTTGTGTTAGGAAGCATGGAAGTCTGACATTTTACTTCAAGGGAAAGGTGAACTGTGCAGGTGTTTAATGAGCAGGAAAGGAAAGCATTGCCCAGTTGTTCCTCCTTTTTTCCACGTGAGTAACTCATCATGCTTTGGAGGCTGTCCAGGCTATATAAGAAGGGTTAGGTTTTCCTCAGCTCATTAGGAAGAAAGAGTCTGTGTCTCTCTGAATTCGTACTTCTATATTCGTATTTAGTTCTTTTTTTTTATTTATTTATGTCCTCTTAAAATTTAAGATGGTTTTAAAAATGTGAAGTACAATTTTGAGGCATGTGACAGTAATGTTTGCAAACTGACACATGGCAAATACACAATGACAGATTTTTAAAAAATTAAAAGACTTCTTGCTGTACTAAAATAAGATGTTATCTTGCCTATCTCAGTTGGTAACATCTGAAGAGAACTCAATTATATAAAAATGAATAACTTTCTTGTAAATTCAGTTTTCTTTCCCATAGTTACTACACTCATTGTGAGTGGAGGATTACTTTGTAGTAAATGGTCTGAGTAATTCTGCTTTACAGCAGACTTAAGTTTGCTTCATGTGATTTTTTCACTTACTGATTTCTGAACCAATTGAGTAGTGTTGTTAAGGATACACATCAGTATTAGGTCTTGTGAAATCTTGCTTCAGGTGTGCAGAAACTTTAAAGAATAATAGGAAGAGCTAATAATAAAAGTACACTTGAGGAAACTGCTTTTTCTTCCCCTCCTCCCACTCCCCTCCCTTAGATACAGTATGAGCAAAGACTTGTAGAGCTTGAGCAACTACTTGCCTACAAATTTATGAGTGAATCACCAAAACTGACTGGTGATAAAGCCAATTCTACAGAACTTGAACAGGAGCTTCAGAATCTAAAGAAGACCCATCAGATCACTGTTAAAAACCTCCAGACAGAAATTGAAAACCTTAAAAGTCAAAATTCCCAATTAAAACTCAGAAGTAAAAAGGATAATGAAGACTTAGAATCCACGGACAGTCAAATGAAACAAGGTAACACAAAAGACAGACTGTTAAAACTAAATGAAGAACTAGTCACCAAAACCAGAGAAATACAAGACCTTACAAAAACTGTAGAGAAACTTCAAAAAGAAAGGATGATGATGTTGTCTGATAATAATTTGAGAAATAAAACAGGTAATAAGGAAAACTCTACAGAGATCTTGAAAAAGAATACCTCAGCGACAGATAAAAGGAATTCCAGCAACAGTGAACCCTTTCTAAGCATTTTCAATGATGACAAAATATACCAACCGCATACCTTTTCTGATTCTAATCTCTCGGAAGTTCTGCAAGAAAATGCACAGCTGAAAGAGGAGCTAGAAAGATTGTCTCTCGAAATGAGCGAGCAGAGAGTGAAGTCTCAAGCAACACTGGCTTATTCTGAAAATAACGTACGAAGGTAAATGCTCAGCATGTTCCTTTAAAAACCTTGTTAAAGTGTTGGCTGATGCTGGATTGAAGTGACACATTGCCATGTCAGCCATGTGTCGAGCTAGCTTATACTTGGCCAGTGTTCTCTGTAAATTTTATTTTTACTGTTTGGTTTTGGTTTGGGGGGGAGGGGGGTTATTGTTTTTTATTTTTAGAGCGGTGCACTGTCATGATTCTTTCTACAGGCAAACATGGATTAATCCTTCTTATTAATAGTACAACTCGTCATGCTTTTGAGCAAAAAGATGTCACTGTAAATCATTGCATCTTAGATGCTTTGCGTTTGTGTTGTAGAGCGTTAATATTTGATACACATAGTTTCCTTCAAACCAGGGTATGCTTTCAGTGGGATTTACTTGACCAACTGTAGAAACTTTACACTTCACCTAGCCTCCCCTAGATCAAAGTAGAGGAAATGTGGCATATTTAGATTGCAACACATTCTGTCCTAAAATAGATACCTGAAATAGGACAGTTGCATTATGATTTAAAAGCACCTATTTTCTCTCCTTTTTTTTTTTTTTTTTTTTTTTACAAGAGGAACCAAAAAAGATGATCGGCTGCGTTTTCTGTATTCTAAGTGCCTCCAGTTAAGAGGCACGCATCCAGCATTGTAGGCTTCCTCACCTTGTCATCCCTCCAGAGCTGTAGAAGTAATGGTGGTGCTATCTTGTGAGGTTTTGCTATGAAATTTCAAAGACATGCCGCCTTTAAAATTTTTGATATTTTATATGTTCAAATGAGAAACTTTGCTGCATTTTTGAACTATCTTTAGCTTCTTTACTACATCTTCTTTTCCTCTCACTCTGTTCAGGATACAGGAAGACACAGCAGAATACATTGCATCTTTGAAAGCTTCCCATCAGAGGGAAGTGGAGAAGATTCTTTGCCAGCATGCAAAAGAGTATTCTACTTCTAAAGTAGCTGAACTAAACAGCAGAATTTCAACACAAGAGGTATGATACAGTAGATACATTCATCACTTACAGATATCTGTTAAAGTTATTTCTTTCTATATTACTGTAAACTTTATCTTTCTTTGAAGGTATGGTTTTAAAAATGGGCCTGTGCCACTGTATTCCCAGGCTGGCTGAGGTTGGAAGGGATGCTCTGAAGGTCATCTTGTCCAAACCCCCTGCACAAGCAGGGCCACCTAGAGCCAGTTGCTCAGGACCATGCCCAGATGGCTTTTGAATATCTCCAAGGAGGGAGATATCCTGACCAGATCCTCTGCCACCAGGGGTGTATCTTCCTCCTTCCAGACTTGCCCCTAGTCTCTGGGGCCTTGGATTCCTGAAGGCCAGTCTTGCTAGTAAAGACTGAGGTGAAGAAGGCATTCTGTATCTCAGCCTTTTCCATGTCCTGGGTCACCAGGGCCCCTGCCCCATTTATCAGCAGGCCCACGTTTTCTCTAGTCTCCTGTTTGCCACTTGGGTACTTACAGGAACTCTTCTTGATGCCTTTGCCGGTCTCGCCAGATTGAATTTCAGGTGGGCTTGGGCTTTTCTAACCACATCTCTGCATGCTCGGACAGTGTCTCTGTATTCCTCGCAGATTACCTGTCCTTATTGCCACTGTCTGTACGCTTCCTTTTTATGTTTGAGTTTTGCCAGGAGTTCCTTGTTCATCCATGCAGGCCTCCTGGTGTTTTTGCCTGACTTTCTGCTTGTTGGGATGGACTGCTCTTAAGCTTGGAGGAGGCGATCCTTGAATGTCAACTGGCTTGCTTGGACCCCTCCTCCCCCCCAGGGCACAATCCCATGGGACTCTTCCAAGCAGATCTTTGAAGAGGCCAGTCTGCTCTTCTAAAGGCCAGGACTGTGATCTTGCTTTTTGGCCTGCTCCCTCCTCTCAGGACCCTGAACTCCACCATCTCATGGTCGCTGCAGCTGAGGTGGTCTTTGACAGTCACGTCCCCAGCAAACCCTTCTTTGTTCGCGAGTTTAAGGCCCAGCAGAGCACCTCTGCTCACTGGCTCCTCTATCACTTGGATCAGGAATTTGTCATCAGCGCTTTCCAGGAACCTCCTGGATTGCTTGTAGAGAACGTGGGCTCTGTGATTATATTTGTGCATTAAAATTTTGGGAGAAGTTTTATACACGGTATGAAGGTAGAAAGCTATTGCATTCAGATTATTTCAGAACCTTTTTTAACAGAGGAAAGTAACTTGAAGATTGAGACGTAGAGGATTGTTAAATAGCACGCATGCACACGTGTTAGAGGTGGTATTGTTAATACATGCATCACTTATACCTGCAGTACTACAATACTGATTATATTTTTGGTGTATTTTTCCCACATAGGTTTTCACGTGTTGTCATGGGTATTTATGTTAATGACAAACTACTTTTAATGTTTTTGTAGATATTAATAAAACATCTCCAAAAACAAATCAGTGAACAACAGAGACATCAGGAAGCCCTTTTAGTTTCACAGATGCGAGAGGAACTCCTACAAAAAGAGGTATATTTAAATTTGGAGTTGGGGTACTTTATTCTAATAAAAGAGCTTTCATTTTCATCCTTATAAAGCCTCAAATGAGCACAATGAGACAAATGTTAATAATTTATTTCTTCTGTGACTGCTTTACAGATTATTAATGACAGCGATGGTTAAGAGAATCCTGCCTGACCCACATGTTACAGGCTGAGTTCTAGGGGCTGGCATCTAAGAAAATGTAATGGAGTGCCTTTGTTACAAATATCACTGCAAGACTATACAGAGAGAAAAGTCTTGCTTTTGCCCTCCAGCAGGATTGCTGTGCTGCTTGTAAAATACATTTTAAGCATTAAATGGTTAAATAAGTTGAGCTGAAAAAAGAAGGCAACCAAACCGGCAAATGGAATTAGTCATGATAGAGAAAGGCACTACCATTTGTGATAGGATTGAGTCCTCTGTCTAAAATGGTGGTACCTCAAAAAAGGCAAACTTTTTTTCTGAGGCTCCCTGGAACATTGTTATTTGAATACTAATTTCAGAAACGCTGTTTATGGATGTTTTCCATTAACTGTGTAGTTCTCTTGCATAACAGCTTGCATGTAGCACAGCTTTGTATTTAACATAGTTCTGTTACTGGCAAAAGACATGGAGCCCATTTTCTCCTGGGGCTTTTTTCCCCTCATAACATCTTTCCTGCATGAATTTTTCTTGTATTTAGTTAAGTACTTGAGATCATGCATCAGCCCTTCCCTTCAGTGGGGCAACGTAGCAGCCAAGCAGCAGCCACTCCGTTTCACAGACCTTGTCAAACGAAGGCTTCTGCTCCTCTGACAAATGGGGCTGAAATTGGCCCACAGGTTCAAAGCTGCCGGAGTCATGGACAGGCAAAAATGCAATAACACCAGCCTTGTTATTTTAGAAAACACATTAAAAAATGGAAATAATAGTAAGCCGTCTTGGAGTCACTTCTCGGTAAGAGTGACAACATCTTACGAAGACGCGATGCTTGAATTCAGCAGCCGAGCACCAAGGACAGCTGAGTGCTTGAAGAGGGTCAGCAGTTCTCAGATACATTGGGTGAGGGGAGCTAAGGGTTATAACAAAGGACAGAGACTTCAAAGCTTTCGCTTTAGTTTACTTATACACGTTAAGAAAGGAACCAAAAAAGACTTATGATGTTAAATGAAGAAATATCAAGTTACTTAAAATAGGCAAGGAATAAGAATAAACCGGTAGGGCTTTATAAGAAAACTTACCTGAATTTCGGGAGGATCAGGAAATCAGTTGTAAGTCACTGGTAGAGTTGATTTGACCTAGCAATTATTAGACCAAAGGGGGTTTGTAATTGTGTCTGTTAGCAGCGTGTCTTTTCTTAATTTATTCCTTAGATATACTCTGGTACATTTTATATTTTATCTTTATCCAGGGTGTGAGAAGGGATTGTGTAAGAACATCTAATTGTAATATTCTCTATTAATTTTTTTAGTATGTTTAGAAGTATAAAATTTGACTGTGAATAATCACTTCATAACATATTATGAACAGGATTTTTCAAAAAGGACTAGATTTTCATATCCTCAGGCCACTTCTTACAAATGAAAGATCTAAGTCCCTGAGCCCCTGGTTAAGCTTTTGAAGAAAGGAGATTTCTCTTTTATGCCTTCCTTTCTGCAGCTTTTGAATGGAATGATTAAACAACGCAAATACACTTTGAAAGGACTCTGTTTTATACGCTGCTTAACACAATGATAACAATTTTCATCGATCCTCTCAAACTGTAGGTGACGAAATTGTTGGAAGAACTGAGAGAAGCTAAGGAGAGCCAGAGTCCTGAAATGAAACATTTCTTATGCCTGGAAAAGAAAATCAAGCATATAGAGACCAGACATGCAGAAAGAGAGCAGGAAATTCAAAAGGTACACCAGAGTATATCTGCATTTACTTCTCAAGAGCAATTTATCGCTTTTACTGTAACTTTATGGGTTTTGCACAGCCCTGTTCAGCTCACACTGCAGGGGATGAAGTACTTTTTGATACAGCCGTGGTTTTGTCTTTGGTGCCCGCTGATGTGAGCGAATGTAGATACAGTCCTCGTCAGCACGTCCTTGCTGTGGTAATCAAGATTGCTTGTGCACGACTCGCATTTCGGGTGCGTAACTTCCTCACAACCTGATCTCAGGAGGCCTTGCTTTTGCAGAGGGTTGGACCGCATGACCTCTGGAAGTCCCTTGGATCATTCAGTTATTTCATATTTCAATTACACAATGAAAGCTAGCTATTGAAAAATTGATGAGAGTTTGTAGTGCAGAGTTTGTTAAGCTATGATATATTCCTCAACTGAACAGTAATTTTATTTTCTAGTTCTAGAAATCCTATTCAGAAAAGCTGCATTAAAAGTATAGCAAAATTTTGTAGCAGTCTACCACATACTGGTTTTAATATCCAAACCACCAACAAAAAAAAGCCATTAGCCTCCACAAACTAAAAAAATTCAGATTTTGAAGGTTGGATCTTTGTGATACAGCTTCTTGTATCTGACATTTGAATCGGTAAAACAATTTTGCATTGATATTTTTTTTTCCATCTTATTTTATGTCATGGCCTCCATCCTGATTTTTTTATCTATCGGGGGAGCTTCTATCATCTGAAAACAGTTTTCTAGTTCATATAGAACTTTTTTTTTTCTCAACACTTTCATCACTTAAATATATGACCATCTTTCATTAGTGTTTTAACTTAGGTTTTACTTAAATATATGAAGTCAAAGAAGGGCAGTTGGACTGGCCGATCATCAAACCTGTAGTAGTTCTTCATTTGTGGAGTTTATTTTGCGGTTTTGAGGCTAAATCTCAAGGAATACACTTTCATGTACAGTATTGTGGTAGAAGGTTTTATTCTCATACATTTCTACATCAGATATTGAATTTTCTTTCCAAAAAGAGCTGTGCATAAAACAAGTCACTGGATTAAGAACAAACCCTGCTGCCACCGATGATTTTATTAGTTTTGTTCACATTCTGTCTTGCTAAAGGCAACTGTAGTACAGTTAATTTTTTTATGCTATTCATTTGCTTTTGTATTATGTGAGAATTTCTTTACCATTTCTGTAAAGTGTCTGCTGCTGCCTAGCCTGTGATCTCTCTCCACTGAATTCATTGCCTGACCTATAGTGTTTACTATAGTATTTAGTGAGATGTTTTGTAATGTATTTTAAAAATAAAAGTAATAGTATAGGCAACAATTACTACTAAGTAATTTCCTCTTTCCTGGTGCTACTAGCCTTGTTACATATGAAGCTTTTGGTTTTGTTGCCTTAGTTTTGCACCCTTAATCATCTGCAGTGGGCAGAGAACAGTCCCCCAGGTGAATGGTAACAAAATGAACAATGTAGAAAAACTAATTGCTGAAGAAAGAAATAACAGGTTATCCTCAGATTCAAACTACAGACAGTAATTATGACCTTTAAGGGACAGAGTTTTCCTTAAAGAATCTATTGGAATTAATAATGGTGTGGAGATTTTGATACCTTGTGACACTTTTTATTTTGGGTAATTTAATAGGATTATGCCATAGATTCATGTCAAAATTAATTCAAACTTTTATCTGCAGCAGCTTCAGGCCTTTGTTGTCTACAAGATATTTCTGATAATTCATAGAACCTGTGGGTTTTAAAAGTACAATGGCAGCCCAGAACACGTCAGTCAGATTTGGTTTGTTTCTCTTGCAGAGCGTTCTTTTAATTAACACATTTAAATGGTAATTCAAAAGGTTCATTTTGATTACAGAGGGTTTTATGTTACATGCTCAGCTTTGTCTTAAATATTCAAACTTTTAATTGCTGCTTTGGAGAGGGTAAGTTAAATTCTCCTGCGGCTCATTAGTCAATAAGAGATTCTACCCTTCTGTCATTAATGCAACTGTTTAAAGGAATTCATTGCTACCAGAATGATTTTTTTGTAATATTCAGAACAAATTGCTTCCACTTAACGTGAGCACTGGGCTTTGAGACTGAGCATCAAGTATAACGCAGTGGCGTGTTTTTGCAAAGGGGCAGGGCTGGCTGAGTCCTTGCCTAAGAAGTCACAGTGCTGACTTGCCTCTCATTTGCAGGCAGCCCAACGAACGCACCACAGTACTGAAGCAAGGCAAACCCAGGAGGTTGAGAAGTGGCGAAGGCTGGCACAGCGCAAGAATCAAGAACTGGAAAAATTTCGAGTGGAACTGGATTCCATATTAGATGTTTTACGTGAACTGCAGAAACAAGGGGTTGTTATTCCTGCACCTCAGTCCAGTGGATGCAGCGTGACAGAGAGCTGTTGGAAGACGTGATTAGGTAGGAGCTGATTAGAGAAGCAGAATTTTAACATTCAAAGTTATGTATAGAAAATAATATTGAAAATCATCGATGTAAATTGAATTACATTCTGATCTTATCTGGAGTCTTGCTTGTCCAAAGGTATATTTTCATTGAGCAACGCCCCAGTCATATTGTACTACTTATATTTTGTTAGTAATAAAGTTACATGCAATTTTTAAAAAATATTAGGAATATTGAGGTTATTCCATAGATTCAGTTATCATTGAAAACCATTTGATGCTTTTTCGGATACTGTAGAACATGCCTGAATACTTTTAACATTTATTTATAACTTGTCTTATAGTGATTCCTTTGTGAACAATGAGTACTAATGCTGTTTGGCTTGTATTTTTAGTGTATAGAGTTATTATTTTTCACTTGGTAGGGCATGAAAATCCTCTTTTTCCAACCTTTTGCTTCTCTCCCTCCAATTCATAAAACATTCCTTCCCTTAGCTTCAAGAACCCTTTCAACTTTGTGACCGATTGGAGGGCTGGAGCAGGGCAGGCAGTCTCTGGTGATGCTCAGATTCAAACTATTCTCTGTTTACTTTTCAAGTATTTCCCACTGTGCTGGTAAGAATGACAGCAGAGTGGTCTAGCTGAATTGTTGTGGGGCAGATATGAAAAAAGCCTATATAGCAGAGTGTGAGAGCAGTTGTTGGTATCCCTTTTAAAAGGGAAGGCTGTATTGAGTAAGATTTCTTTTTTTTACAATGGCCTGTTCTGGATCTGGCATAGTAGTGTCTTTATAGATGATCCTGACAGAACAAAGAGGCCAGCCAAAGGTGAAGACAAGGTACTAAAGCTCAGACTGCAGGGATATGTTAGCGGGCAAATTTAGAGTTAAAATACTGAGCAAGTTGAAAAAGGAGCTGTAAAAACCTGAAACAACTATAGCGGTCAGGAGTGACAAAGGCAAAGTAGTATGCTTAAGCAGGAATAATCCACTACCCAGGTACCGAACGTGGCTAAACTTTCTGCTGAAGTGACAGGCATGGTAGGTAACCAGCTGGATGTTGGCAAGACCATTGCCTTCTCCCTCTCCTTTTACACCCTGCAGGAGTTACAGATCAAAGTGTTGAGCCTGTAAGATATTAGCTAGCGTAGCAGCAATTCCTACTGTATCACTGACATGTAACTTGTACTTCATGTGCTAAGCTTTTGGTCCCTTGTTTCAAGAAAGAGCTGGACCAACTGGAGGGAAAAGAACCGTCAGCAGTCTGGAAAATGTAACCTTAGGAACCGCAGAACCCACAGGGCTGCCCTGCCCCGGAGAGGAGACTGGGGAGGGAAGATGAGGATGGCCATGACACTTGTCAGATATGAAAAAACCTCCTGCTAAAAGGATAGAAAAAGGAGCAGCAGTAAGTCAAATTAAAGAAAATTCAAGATGGATAGCTATTTGGTGGCTGGAAGGACAGGTTTTCAAATAAATCAGTAAAGTCTCAGCACTGCAAGTCCTTAAGAATTCCACAGCACATATATTGAGGTTGTAGCTCAATCAACTATACTTATTTAAGGCAAAGAGAAGATAAAAGCTAGAATGTGCTCTTCTGGTCCCTGAAGTATCGGTTGAAGGAGCATTTAAGTCAAATGTGAAATAGTTCAGGCCTGTGTAGTTGTATTTATGTATCGTGCTTCTGCAGAGACCAGCAGTAAACATGCATTTTGTGTTATACAAGCATGTGACTGAGCATGCATAAAGAACAAAATAGTATAACAAATTATACCCTGAAGGCACAGACAGTAATTAAGTGCAAGGATTATTTTTTTAGAGGATACACATACACAGACATAAAGTGAGAAAGAGTGTATACACATTATATAAATCGGTATAAAAAAAGGATGGTCAGTTGGCAATGAATACAGTAATCTTGGTTGTTCCATATTCAGATATTTTCAGTATGGATGTTTTGTCCCCCAATAATGAAGTATTAGTGTGTATTCATAAAATGTGTAAATACAGTAATGCTTTGTATATGAAATATCAGCTATGTGTAAATATACTGTATTTTCTTGATTTGGGACTTTTGCAACTGAAAAGGATGAAATTGGATAATTTCAACTTACCCTTTATTTCCTGTACAATTTGCTGTACATGTAACAGTGTATTGTGTGTCACCTGAAGTGTAATTTCTTTAAATTACAGCAAGCCCTGTGTTCCCAGAGAGGGGGCTTGCCTTAGTGGTCATGCAGTTCATTCAAACACCTTTTAAAATTGTTACCTGGTATCTTACATAGTTTGAATTAAATTTCAAATTAAATTCTCTCTATTTTACTGAGCAGGGACAGTATTAGTTACCATTACTGTAAGCGATAAGATGGTTTATACTGTGTTCTCACATGTATTTATGTAGTTGTACACTCGCTGAAGCATGGTCTTTAGTTTTTAGACGTTGCTGGTGAAGGGGGCACAAGACACAGTAACAGACTCCCCCTGGCCTTGAATGGCTGTGGTCACGATGTTCTTTTTGGAGAACTAAGGTCCAAGTTTTAACTTCTCTGCTAAAGTTTTTGTTCTTGACTCTCCAGCAGTCGTGACAGTACAGAAAGGGGAAGATACCTTGAAACGGAACAAAGGCTGACAGAAGTGGTCATTAGCTTTTACTGTATTCCACTGAGGATTTCAGAATTACGTATTCCTCGTGTATGTCTTTCCTCTTCTTATGCCATACTAGTTCATCATGCATTTCCAGGAGGCATCGTAATGGATGGATTAAAAGAATTGTAAACATGGTTTCTTTCAATTGTTGCCTGATGTTTAACTGGAATTCATTTGTTTACAGCAAAGCAGCTGGAGTCTAATAATTTGACTTGTCATGTTTGATGCTTTTAGGAAATCAAGTGAGCAGCTGGCTGGGTGACCCAGTAACCTAGATCACAGAGAAGACATTTGCCTCAAGAGAGGAAAACGGTGTGCAGAGGAGTCAGATCTCATCGTGGCATTCATGGCAGGGACATACGCAGTGCATTCTATTTCAAGTTCTCTGAAATACATGTCAAAATTTTTCATGTAACAAATTAAACAGGTTATCATAGATGAAGACTTTATTTGATAGTACATAATACATTTTGAAGTCTGCCACTCTATCCAGTGTTTAACCTATTCTGGAACAAAGAAAACAGCACTAGCTGTGCAAAGCCAGCTCTGCAGGGAAGGGAGGCCATACATCAAGTGCTGCCCTAACTCTTTTGAACAGAAAGTCCTCTGACAACTTTGAACTGTAGTGTTTGCCTTTCATAGAGCTAACTATGTACCTCTTGTCCAAAAATAAGAAAGCACAGGCCTCCAACTTTTGCTGTGGTTGGAGAACATGTGGTAAAAGGCTCTGGCTCCGTGCTGGCCTTGCTACCTGGTAATACGTGAGCCGACAGAGTAATAAGAGTAATTTAGCTTTGTCATCTTTCACTGCCAGGAGGACAGGGCAGAGTACAAGGGAAAAAAAAAACAAACAAACAAACTTAAAAACCACTTAAATTCCTCCTTTGCCAGGCTTGGGAAGGGCTTTGTGGGGTTCTTTTAATCACAGAGTGACAAAAACATCAGTATTAAAGTATTTGAGATCTATAGCTCAGGTGCATAAATACTAAATTGCATGACAAATACACATCATTTACTTCACCTTTTAGCCTCAGAGACCATATACCACTGGATTTTAGTAGAGAAGTTCATGGTTTTACCTTTCCCTTTTCTCTATGACAAGGCACTTTCTGATTTTACATTGTATTGTTTTGTCTTTTTTTTAAAAAAAAGGTACACACCAAAAGTTTGTTTACACCAAAGAACATTTCACAAATATTCACCTTTGAAAACTGGAATACAGAACTTAACCTGGTATGTTCTTACAGAATACAATACACATTTATGCAAACAAACATTGTAATTATCATAGGGGAACTCTCCACAAAGTTAAATCTACCACAGGTGATGCATTTATAGTGAATTTTGAAAAGAGGCTCTGAAACAGACAGCCCAAGCAGTAAGAAAACTTGCAATAATTCTGTTTTCAAACACCATTAAATTCCAAGTACTCCTTTTGAAGGATTACCCTGGTCAAAACACTTTCTATTCACTTCATAGTGAACCAACTCATGTTGGTTTTCTGGGAAAAGTTGAAAATTTTTAAACTTGTTTGTACAAAGTTGGTTATTACATCAACCCCCTTTCCCCTGAGACAAAACATTGTGTCTATTAGTTCTTCAAAAGGAAAAAGAAAGAAAGAACAGCTTTAAAATAACTGCTTTTGAAGACTGCAGAAAGTTTCTGCATTTGCCTTTGACTCTGCTCTAATGCGGAGGCAGAGCAAAAGTCTGAATCAGACTGCATTGCTGCCACAGTGCTTCTGAAGTCAGGTGGGAGCTGGGCAGTGGGGACTGCCAGGTTATTTTTCTGTAAAAAGCAGTGTGAAGGACTTTATAGAAGGGAGATAAGATGGAAAAAGCAGAAGAACCATCAGGGAAGAACAGAAGCAGGAACTAAACACTTAATCCTGTAAAGGTATCTAACACATGCTTCAGAAGGACCCTAGGAACACAATTCAAATGTGCTGTAAGTTCAGTTGGCATTATCCCTTGATCATTTTATTAAATACCTTTCATCTACGTGTTAAGTGTCACCAGCATCTGTACACATGAATACTTCTTTGTCCCCAAAGTAGCAGTTATGCACCCAAATGCCACAAAGATTTCAGGTAGCAGAAGAAAAGCTTATGTTAGCCCACTGGGAATAGCGAGCTTTTCTTTTTCTAAAACCAGACTTGCATTATTTTGAAATATAGCTTTAAATGCTTTAAAAATAAGCTTCCTTTCTCAATTGCAGAGGAGATGGATTTTACGCAGATTTTCCCCTCATTTAAGCAGCATTTCAGTTTTCAAGCATGGCAAAGGAAAAAAAAAAAACACAACTTTAAAAAAAGAATAGATCAAAATCACTGAAGGCAGCTCACTCATCAGAAATGGGCTATAAAAGCCATGTTTAATAGAAGTCCCAGAGCTTGTTAGCAAGAACAATATTGAGCTTCAGGTCAAAGTTTAACCACCAGCTAGCTAACAGTTGTTTGAGGTGCCTCAGAGCAGTTGCCTCATTCAGAAGGCAGATTTCCCAGACTTCGGAATTTGGGAAGAGAAAAGGGAAATCCAGAGCTACAGCCTTCATACTTGTGGTTAAGTACTTACTGGAAAAGGCCTGCCCCTGAAGCAGCATGCTGGAGACCTACACTGCAAGCTGGGCAGCCGTCCTCATTTATAACACGGTTCACTTCACTCTTCTCATGGGAACTATTTTCAACAATAATCTGCTAGTTTTAAACAGTCTCTGCTTTGCTTTAAGTAAGTATAATCCCATTACTTTAAATACTGGGAAGTAGTGCAGGAGTTACATTTGAAAACAGGAAATTTTGGTATAAGTGGTTTATAGTAAGGGCACAGGAGATAAAATAAAAGAGGTTTCCTGACTCTGTATTCTTTAAATGCACAACCCAGTCATTATTTTTCTATTTATCAGGTGAATTAATCAGCATTTATGTGTCTGAAGCATGTATCAGCAGGCCATCACTACATTTTCACTCCGACACAAACATACTGTATACAAAGCAGGTTAGTTTCAAGAAAACCCAGTTAGGCACAGTATCTTGAGCCCACTGGTTTCATTTCAGTTAAGAGCTTCCTGCAGAGCACTCCAAATCCAGCAAAGGATTTGAACCTGGTTCCTCTGCATCCTATGTGCTTGCTCTGAAGCCATTTGGCCATTAGTTACCATCTTTTGAAGAACGCTGAAACGTAATTTAAGTACTGACTAAGGTTTAGAACCTTGTTCCTTCTTTACAAACTAAAGGCTGAAATTACACCTATTCAATTCCTTAACAAACCTTGCCCTGGGAGAACAGCCATGGTTGCAACATCATCCCAATTGAGTACCAAAAAAAAAATAAAAAATAAAAAATGGAGCAAGCACAGCTCAGCTATGCTTTTGGAGCCGGTCCTGTCAACAACTCCAAGCCTGCTAGCCCTTCACTAGTCAAAAAAGGGCCATTTATGGAGCCAAGAAGCATAAGAAGGTTCAGCCGATAAGCAAAGCATAACACCAACTTAACATCCCACTACCATTTGCATATAGTAACTCTATTCGCAAAAGAAGAATAGTTTTTATCTGATTTCCTGTGATTTAGCTCCTGAATCCTGCACTTACCAAACTGGAAGTTCACATCAGCAATAAAAAAAAAAAGGCAAATGACTGTTTGTGTGTAGAGTACTAATTCTAGGCCATCACTGGACAGCTGTCAGAATGTCACTCTGAAGTACTATCATTACAGGCAACGATTTGCTTTTAACTCAGCAGCAGTCGGTGGTAACATCTTGTAAATACTGTAACTGAACAATTTAATATGTGACGTATTCCTTCTGGAAGCTTTGTGAGGTGGGTTTAACCTACACCGAAAAGCAGTTTGGAATCAGAAACTGTGGTTAATGCTAAGCAGACATCCATTGTGCTGCTCAGTTTCACATGTCCTTCTGGGGAGCGGCAGAAGCTGCAGAACCTCCCCAGGGGCTGCCTGTTTATTCCTTGCCTCAGTCTTAATTTCAGGTTTATGCTTTTCTTGGCCAAGGAGCTTGCTTACACCTCCCAATGCCAGGCTCCAGCCTCACACTCTCCACAAGTTGTTATGGCATCCTTCAGAAGCTGGACATAAGCAGTCATTTAAAAGCAAAGAACAAAACAAACAAAAAAAATCGGGAAGCAAAAATAATGCTAGGCAAAAGGTTTAGACCACAGAAGGCATCAGAACAAAGCATTCAGTGTTTTACTTCTTGTCTAAACCAAGTTCTGTCAGCACAGCCATTCTTACATACAATAAAAAGCACAGGTCTGAAATACCTTCTATCAAAATAGCAGAAGGCCCAGAAAGGCTTTAAATTGGACAATAACAGGAACATTTACCGTAAAGTAAAAGGCTTTTCAGTCAAGGATCCGATGGGAAGATGGCATGACTGATTTGCTTTCTAAAATGATTGGTGGCTCTGAGATGAGGAGATCATCCTCACCTAGTGAAGAGTTCTGCTCAGTGTTCACAAAGTTAGGAATGTTAAATTTTGTAAGACAATGTAGGTCCTCCTCAAACTTTCCACTGCTCCTGGGCACCTCCTGGAAGTGGATATTACTCTCCACACCTGGACCTTTCTGACTTTGTTTTGCTTTGTCCAAATGTTCCACTTCATTAATACAGAAATGGAAAAGTGATTCGGATTCTTCAGCTATTTGACGAGAAAAGACCCTCTCCGTCTCCAGAGGTCTTCCAAAATCTGCCACAAAGCTATTCATGTGAAATCTTTTTTCAGAAGGTTCTGCGTTGCTAGGGAGGAAAATGAAAACTACATTAAGCACAGAAATATTCAAGTTCTTAACAGCACATTTGGTTTCAGCAACCATTATGATCAGGAAGAAAGGAAACCCTACAATTTATCTACAACAGAATTTAAAAGCCAGCACTATTTATTATTTTCTGCTGAAGCCATTTTAAGTCTTGATTTGTTGTGATAATTTTCCATGGGAATAAGTTATCAGTGCCTGCATTCTTAAATGGCACTTCTAGTAATCAATATATTGTAATAACCAGCTCACTGAATGAGCTTAGAAATACTCTTCCATATTTCCTCTTCATACCAAGTAATATCAAGTAGTAATGAGTTTTTTAAAATGGCTTTTAGAACACATTGAGAAAAATTTTTGATAGGGAAAATCTTTCCGAGACCTAGGCAGCACTGCTGTCACTAAAGGCGTAATTGGAGCACATGGCTGTCCGGACATCAAACCGTCTTTTCCACTGACTTCAGTCAAGGACATTCAGATTTCCAAATTAGGAGAGCTGGAACTAAAGACCGCTACAAAGACTGGCATTCTTAACAGTTCAGACACATAGCCCAGCAAGGACATCTTAACATCTTTCTTGGAGTTTTCTAGAAGCGTTAGCTCAAACCAGCTCCAATCCACATGGATTTGTGCAGGAGCCATGAACAGCTGAGGGTGAGAAAAGCTTAAGCTAGACGGAAGTTTTACAGATAGTAATATGTTCTTTGTCAGGCTGAATTTGTATGCTATCATCACAAAATGCAAGTTTTATTTGCATCTGAAAGGCAGTAGAGGTATTCAGAGAATGGGTAGCGAAAAATCTAAACATATTCTCAGAATGTAAGTTTTGATAAGCAAGAATTAATAAATCATACTGTTTACATGTGAACATGTGGCAAATGACACTTGAACCAGATGATAGTTGGACGCCTAAAGGTGCACACAGCACTTAGAGATTTTCAGAGAACCGCTATAATTTGATTCCCTCAAGGCTGCAGTCGGAGGAAACTGCCTACATGCTTTTGAAAGCCTCAGATGGCACCTTCAGAAACCTACCCCTAAAACCTTCAAGTTCACAGGATACCTTCCCTTAGTCTTTCAGTCATAGTTAACCTTAAGGATTCCTGCTTCTCAAATGCTGATTTACTTCCATCACATGATACGATAACGCTATCCTAACAATATCAGTTACACTAGCCTTCAAATCAAAGCACTCCTCTAGTTTGTCAAAACTGTAGTGGTTCATTCTGCATTTCAAAGTGAAGCACGTAGAAGCATAATATTTAAATTGATGCAAGACAGACCAGTAACTAAGTAATAATCTACTGTATACACACCAGGAGGCAAACAGACTGGAATAACACTGTGGTAGCCTTCAGAACTGATGACTGACATTTATGTATTTACAATGCAACAGAAAGCACCACTCCAAGTTTAAGTTGCAGACAGAAGCTCTTGAGGACAGATTTGCAAAACTATGTCGTGTTGTGGCACAGAGAGCGGAGGTGACAAATACGCACAGAAAGAAGGCCAAGTGTTATAAGCCTAGGAAGAAGCGACACTGGAAGAAAGCTTAAAACGCATCCATTACAGAAGAAAAACTAGTTATAAGTGCTTTATAACCCAGTGAGCTATAAAGGAGCAAACGCTGACTGTACAGAGGGGCACACAAGACTGGCAATGGAAACCTAATCTGAATGGAAGAATACAAGATGCAAAGAAATTTGATCATGACCCAGAATGTTGAGGACATACGGTAGAGAATAATCCTGTGCTCATGAGGAGGGAACATGTAATCTAACACACAGTGATATTTTTGGATTCTAAAATTCACAAACACTATCTTTCTGTATTTTGGGGAGGAATTTATTATTTTTTTTTTTAAACTAGACTAGAAACTTGCATAGTCTTGCTCATTACAGTATGCAAGTATACTTCAGTGTGTATCTTTTCAGAACACTCAATAAGAAAAGCAGCCTCAGAATTCCCAGTTTTACTGTGGAAGGGAGCACAGCCACCTGGACAAACAAATCCCTTTTGCAATATTTAGGCCAACAGGACCCTCTGAGTTCCAGAAGCTGCCCACAAGAGAGCGGGAAGGTGAAAGCCAGACAACTCGAGCACCATACATACGGAAAACCACTCAAAACAAGCAGTTGCCAATGAACTAACCCCCAAGCGCCCTTTTCTGGGAATCTTCCAGCCTACAATGTTGGGTTCTGGTCTGCTGGATTCAGTATTAAGGTCTGGACTCTGCTCACTGGACTTGAGTGCACTGTGAGGGTGCAGACCATTTTGCCCAGTATACTGTTCTAACAGGGGCACACTGGTTTGGGACTGACACTTGAGATTCCTCTATAGCTTAAACACTCCTTCTCTCAACACTCTCTGAGGTGACCTGGGGTACTTGAGGGATCTAAACAGATCCTCAGTACCAATCCAGAAGTGCTGCCCTGAACCTGAGGAACCTTCCTGAGTAAGTTTGCAGCAAACACATACATATGTCTTCTTTCAGTGTGTCTGCATTTTTCCAAGTGGATGTCACCCCAAAATCCTTAACCAAAACCAACTGATTTCTTAAAAATTTGTCAGTCATTTCACCTTTACTGCAACTAGTTGTACAACCTGCCTCGATAGCTGCATGAAGCTTCAAGATTACATCAGCCAGTATTTTGTACAGGTAGGTTACAGGAACACATGCGTTTGTTGCACAAATGTGTTTTTAAGGACTTTTTTTAAATGCAGAAACAAACACAGAGCACTGTCTTCTGAGTGATGAACAAGAGTACTTTTCAGGCAGAAATTCAGAAAGATTGTCAACAATTTTTTTTGTTGCACAAACCAATGTTCTACACACACTAATATGCAAGAAGCAAAAGAAATGTGCAACAGACATAATTTCCATAACTAGTTACATTTCTACCTCTCCCCATCCATATCCTGATCCTTTTCTTCTGGTCTGAGAAAGTACCCAATTCTGAACACCTTGTACAATTCTGAAAAGTACATGCTATCATACTGCTTTATATTGAGCCAAGAAAAGCATACTACTGGGAAAAAAAAAAATCACAGTATTCTACTTTGGATCCATCCATCTGAACCCAGTTACAGTTCTCTCACATTAATGGTGCTTTAAAGAACAGCCAAATTGACTTACTGAAGTCAGAGACACATCCATCAATCAGGCTGGCTTTCTCCCAAGACCTAGGAATCCCATTAATGTCTATTTCTAAACGAGGGTGGTAAGACAGCCCACTAATGAAACAAACGATGAGTCATGAAGAATCCAGCCAGGTATAAAGACAGAAGATGCAGGCAAACTAAAACCACAGTCTGCACTGGTTTTACTGGTAGGTATTTATGTTCTCCAGTTTTTATATACGTGTCAACAATAAGAGGAAACAACAGTATTCATTACCCTCAGCGTATTCCTGGGTGATCCGTTTCCAGTACTGTACACATTTGGTTATCAAATCTCAAAAAAATAGTGCTCAAATTTGTTAAAGGTGCCAACTCCGCATACATAGCGAGCGGGCAAGCATTCAAGCACACAGCTCCCAAAGCTGCAAAGAAGTTTAAAACAAATACAGAAAGGAATAACTGGGCTCTCTTCAGCAACTGAAGAAAAATTATATTAAGGTTTAGACTGGAAAAGACTTCTGGAGGTCTCTAGCCTAATGCCCCGAAAAAGGCAAGGCCAACTCTGAATTCAGATCAGGTTATCTGGATGTAGAAGCTGACCAAAGATGGAGGTTTCACAAACTCTCTAGGCAACTTGTTCCAAGAAAA